GGTATGACGAACGGATGTGTAAATGTATTAGGATGAACAACCGGATTCGGAGGAGAATATGATGCCTTGGGAGGAGATGAAGGAGATGATAATCTGATGCTAAGAAAGCTTTGTTCATCAAATATGACATGTCTAGACACAAGGAGTTTATGAGTACTGAGAGAAAAACAAATATAACCCTTGTATTGAGAAGCATATCCCAAAAATATACACTCGGTAGTTTTTTGATCTAACTTGTTATTCCTATAAGGTCGCAAGAAAGGAAAACATGCACAACCAAAGACTCTTAAGTGATCAAGCTTCGGTACAGACTTAAACAGAAGTTCAAAGGGAGATTTCATTTTAAGAACAGGAGTCGGCATCCTATTAATAAGATAGGAAGCCGTAGCACAAGCATGAAACCAGAAATAAGAAGGCAGGGATGCTTTTTGAAGTAAAGTGATAGCAGTTTCCAATAAATGCCTATTTTTTCGCTCAGCTAACCCATTTTGTTCTGGGGTATAAGGACAAGGCATTTGATGAACAATACCCTTATCTCTAAGAAATGCTTGAAAAGCTAAGCCCACATACTCACCCCCACCATCACTCTGAAGTGTTTTAACAGTAGCATTAAACTGAGTTTGAACATAGGCAACAAACTGAGCAAAAACAGAGAAAACTGCAGATTTATTGAAAATAGGGAAAACCCATGTATATCTTGTACATTCATCCACAAAGGACACATAATACCGAAACCCTTCTAAAGACTCAACTGGAGCAGGACCCCACACATCGGAGTGTATGACTTCAAAAGGAACCAAAGATTTTGAAGCAATACAAGGGAAAGGTAATTTGGAAAACTTGCCTTGTAAACAAGAAATACAAGTAAGGGAATCTTTATTACAGGGAACATAAATGGATGAATTCCTAAGGGCTGCAGTGGTAATAGCATTGGAATGATGGCCTAATATACAATGTCAGAGATCAGAAGACACATTTTGACCCAAAAATGCAGCTGGAGTAGTCACATTTGAGCTGGAATACTTGAAAACTGGAATTGGATAAACTGCATTGTTACTCAGTCCTCGATACAACACTTGCCCTGTGACCTTGTCCTGTATACAAATAGAAAACTCATCAACAATACAGCGACAACTGTTATCTTTACATAATTGATACATGGAGAGTAAATCTTGAGACAGTTTCGGAACATGTAGCACAGAATTAAGCTGAAAAGTATGTGATTTGGTGGGAAATACAGTGTTGCCAATATGAGCAATACTTAAACCTTCACCACCAGCACTCGTGACTGTCTCAGTTGACGGATAAGGGACTGCAGCTGAAAGATTAGCAATATCGGAAGTCATATGGTTGGTTGCACCGGAATCAAGCAGCCAAAAATCTTGAGGAGGTGCACTTGGAGTCATGTTGGCCCTGGCTTGCATAGCTACAGGTTGAGAAGCTTGATAAGAAACAGGTTGCTGAATGTGAGGTCCACGAAAATAAGGGCTAGGTGGATCACCAACAGAAGAAAACTGAAATGATGGATGAACAGTCATCGGATGAGAGGAAGAACCAGCCATATGAAACTGTGAGGAAGCATTCATGTCAAAGCAAGTAGCAGCAGTATGGCCTTTCCTGTGACATATTTGACACCCATTCTAAAAGCAATTGAGAGCAGAATGCCCTTTCTTATCGCAAATTTGACAAATTTGAGACGGATTATATGCTGGAACAGACGGAAATGGAGCAGGGAACAAATGCTGAGAATTGTTTGCACCATACAGAGACTGGGAGGAAGACTGAGAACCTTAGGAGAAACGTTTGCTTTGCCTTTGGACTTGAAATTATTATTAGAACCTCTGAAGTTGTTAAATGAACCAGAAGCATATTGAGAGGGAAAAACACACGGGAGATAACCAGGCAGAGGCATCTGAACAGGCATTGGTTAGGAATAGTTAGACATGGGCATAGGCATTGGTGGCATAGACATCGGGGAAAAATGCAAAGAGGTCTCATCTTGTAAGGCATTATGACCCGAAGATTGGCCTGAATCATAAGTAGCTCAAGCACCCTAAGCATACATAGCAGACATTAGAGGAATTTGCTTGTGAACCTCAGCCAATGTGGATTCTTCAGCCTTTAATTGGGACCGGAGTTCTTTTAAAGATACCAGATTTTCTCGGCCACGAATAACAGCTTTGATAGTATTGTATTCAGATGGTAAGCCCCGTAAAGCCACAATAACAATGTCTTCATCAGAAATAGTAACTCCAACAGCAGCCAATTGATCCCTAGAATCCTTGATCTGTTGAAGGTATTGATCAATGGACTCTGGCCCTTTTTTAATATTCTGCAAATCAATTTTCAACTGCACAATGCTGGTACGAGTAACACTAGCAAACCTTTCACGAAGATTGTCCCACATTTCCTTAGCACTTTGAGAACCAATGATAGAGGACAATGCAGAAGTAGATAAAGTGGCAGCAATAAGAGTCATAAGAGCTTTATCATGAATCTTCCATATTTTGTACGCATCAGAGAGAACCTCAGTAGTGTCAACAGCACCATCGATAGATTTATCAGTCTCAAACTTCTTAGGACAGGAGATGGATCCATCAATAAAACCCATAATACCATTCCCTTCCAAAAGAAGATCCATTTGGAAATTCCAGGGAACATAGTTAGAATCATCTAACTTCACTGTCACAGTGTTACCCACACTTGGAATCAATGAAGAAATTGGCGATTGAGTAAGAGCCGATTGATTTGGATTAACCATTGTGAACAATCAAGATTACTTCACGAAAATTTTGAGATTGCACAACACACACAGCAACAGGCAGTAGAAAACTCGCAAACGGTGCACAAGAACAAGATCGCAAAACAATGCACAAGAAATCGAACAAGATACAATGACCAAATCGAAGCAGAAAGCGAAGAATCGCGAAGAGCAGATGTAAGAAAGAAGAAGAAACACCTGACGAGCAACCATAAAAACCCCAAATCTTAGGGTTTGAGCACCGACTGCGATCGAACACCACCGACAACAATCACAGAGGCGACCGACATGCACCGACTGCGATCGAACACCACCGACAACAATCACAGAGGCGACCGACTTGAAGCAACGAACCACCGACAGAATTCAGAACGACACGAAAAGCACAAAAGACGAGCGGAAGCACCAGGTCGTCAATCGATGGCCGTGGCCATGATCGGCGATGATACCATGTAAACACTAAAGATTTCCAGAAAGTATTTGTAGAGTGAGAAAATTAACAAACTAGAGAGAGAGTGAAATTGAATATCCTTTTTCATTTCTTGATCAATAATTACACTACACAATGGTATTTATAGCTTACAACAGAATCAACCCTTCTAACTACTTCTATACAACACCCAATTACAACATGACACGTCAACACATTTATCAACCTATCAATAAGAGGCATGTTACAAGGTAGCAAGGGAGTTATTTGCCTTCACAAAATGTATGATCTTTCTATCCACATCTGTTATGCATTGAATTTGAATGTTAGTGCTGTAATTTTTACACTTTTTTGACGTTGTATTTACACTATTATTTGCTATCTGTAGAGTCATAGAGCTTTGATGGATTGAAGGAGAAATAAAAGGCGGAAGAAGCAGAAGTTTACGAATGTGGATTGGGAAGAGCTGGCTCAGGGTATACTTGAGATTATCCTTGAGCGACTGCCTCTGATTGATTGTATCTCTGTTAATGATGTTTGCAGAGCTTGGAGAAACGTTATTGGACAGGAACTTTCTTGTTGGCAACGGCGTGGTGTCCCGTGGCTCATGACTTCTGGCCACAGAGGCAGACATGTAAGGACTTGTGGACTTGTCTTAGCATATTACAGAATCAAGATTGGGAGATAGTGCTTCCTCAGGCTATTGGAAGATACTGTTGGGGATCATATCAAGATTGGTTGATTCTAGCGAAAGAAGTCGACTGTTAAAACCTTGACATTCGTTTGTTGAATCCATTCTCTAGGAAGAAAACTAATCTTCCCAAAACATGGAATTTTTATCACAAGATGGTTCTCTCTGCGCTTCCTTCTGTCGAAAACCTTGTTTGCATGCTTGTTCATAGTCAACACCGGGAGCTTGCATTTTGGGTCCGCGGAGCTCAATCATGGCTTAAACATAAGCTAGACGGTGAGCCGTTTGAGGACGCTGTCTTCTCAGATGGAAGTTTCTATCTTCTAAGCAGTGATTATAGCATTTTGAAGATTAAGGTTGCTAATGTGCTTGCTGCCATCAGAACAGAGGATGATCATGAGATAAAAACAGATAGCCATTAAGTAAAAATGTCCGAGGAGCAGGAAAATTACAGTGTATTGAAGTATCTTGTGGAATCTTGTGAGAGCTTCTACTTGTTTTTAGGTTTTATAGCCCCGAACCTGATGCTGTTCTTGAAACACATGATTTCAAAGCATATAAACTGGATTTCAGCCGGATGGCATGGAAGAGGGTACATGATTTGGGCGATCAAATAGTATTTCTAGGATTCAACCAATCATTTTTGAATCAGACATATGCCGTTACATCGCATTTTTTGTTCATTTCAAAAGCTAAGGTCTAAAATCGGAATTTTATTTTAATCATATTGGCGGCGTGCATCAATAATTTTGGTTAAGTTGATCATATGCAATATGCTTGTCACTTGGAAATTCATCCAGCATCACCATAGAGTTATTTTTCAAGTAATGGGGTACCGCCTATGGCCTATCCACTCATTTTTAAAGGTGCTGCAAAAACTCCGAAATTCAACACAGCTTCAATTCTCTTCACTGTTTGTTAGAATAGAATCACGTGGCTTCACAAGATGCATGAAGCGGGCACACTATCCTAGTCCACTGGCCTGAGCCAGAAATGCAAATGTTTCACACATTTTGTGTTGAATATATATATATATATATATATATATGATTGCCGGAGGGGTAGTAGGAGTGACACTCCTACTGTGTTGATTCATTCATATATAGAAAAAACAAAACAAAAATGAAATGCATACTTCATTATTTAGATTGCCTCAGAAAGCATAGATTCGTTCAAGTAAAATACAGGGTTTCTACTGCATTGATACCAATGTAGTAGAAGAATCTGCCGGGGATTTTGGAGGAGAAGACGAATCTGCCGGGGATTTTGGAAGAGAAGACAAGTAAGGCTTGGGTGGTATATGCAACGAATCAACACTCCCTTCCAACATATCTATCACTTCCTTCATCGATGGCCGATTTGAAGGATCAGTTTGTATACACCACAAGCTCACTATGATCATCTTCCTCGCTCTTACTTTGTCTTCCTCGTTTGTAACACTCTGCATACCAAGCTCTTCGTCCCGTTCAAGACGCTGGTAAATCCAATGCGGAAAATATATTTCACTTGTATTTTCAGCTTCAGTGTCGATGTTCTTTTTTCCTCCAACCATCTTCGAAAGCATCATTCCGTAGCTGTACACATCAGACTTGTGCGAGACCTTTCCAAAGTTTCTAGAAAATACTTCTGGAGCAATGTAACCTGGTGTACCTCTAGCTCCCAACATCGACACAATGCTCTCGTTCATGTTGCATATTTTGGCAAGGCCAAAATCCGAGATTTTTGGGATGAATTTTTCACTGAGAAGAATGTTGTGAGGCTTGATGTCGAAATGCAAAATTCGTGTGTTGCAACCACGATGTAAGTACTCCAATCCTTGAGCAATACCAAGTGAAATTTGATCCAGAGTTTCCCATCCCAAGTGATGATGATCATTCTTGGGAGTACTTGCATCAAATATGAACTTCTCGAGCGATCCATTAGGCATGAATTCATAGATCAGAGCCCTCTTCGAACCCTCAAAACAGTAGCCCAACAAGGAGACGATGTTGACATGGGAAGTTCGACTAATGGCTGCCACTTCATTCATAAATTCTTCTCCATCTCCTTTTAGTTTGGTCAAGACCTTCACTGCTACAAGACGGCCGTCCTTTAATTTTCCTTTGTAAACAGCACCATAGCCTCCTTGTCCTAATTTTTCTTTGAAGGAGTTGGTCATTTTCTTGACCTCCGAATAGCTATGCCTTTGAACTTGAAGCGGCCCATAGCTCCTTAGAAAGGCCTCAACAATTTGATGTTTTTGGATACGCTTCTTCCAAAAGAAACAGCAGACAACAACTAGAACGACGATAACAGAGGCTGCACCAACTGTTAAAGGAGAGTTAAATTTGATTGAAGGTATGTTATGCAGAGCAATAAATGGACTTTGCCAACATGTTCAAACGCTTGCTCATTCCGTGATTCCTAGAAAATTAATCCAGAGGGATTGGGGAAAGACAGATTTCCGTCCTTTGGTTCTAGCACTTGTCCTAGATGAGTATGCATACCAATTAGATATTTAAATGCGGAGATAACAATCTTACCTAGTCCTAGCTTCAAATTCAACTGCTTATCTCCTGCAACATGAATTGCAAAGAAAACTGCTGTTAGCTAAATCACAGAAAATAGAAGTGGCATAAATAAAGGAATCAGATTATCGCACGTCAGAGAAAGAAAGAAAGGTCATGTAAATGTGTATACCTTTGGCGCATTTAAATTTTCCCTCTAGAACCAGGCATTCACCTTTGCTTTCAGTACATCGAAAACATTCTGGTGCTGACACGTGGAGGTAAAACTCAGCTGTCAATGAAGAGGACATGTTGGGTTGAGACGGACGCATGGGGACCTGCATGGTTTCACACCTTGGTGGCAGAGGGTTAGGTAAATTATTGTTAGATGAATTGATATAGTAAGTATGGTAAGTATTTCCGCAGCCATCCTTAGGTTGTGGAGAAGAAGTTTTGTCCAAGATGTTGCATTTGATAAGGGTAAGGTTGAGTGTGGATAATGATACTCCAGGGATAGGAGAAGCGCTGGGAAGACTCAATTCGTCGAAAGCTCCGTCGTTGCAGTGATCCTTTTCTAAGCGGCCGGCAAGGTCTCTGTCTTTGATAAAAATCGAAGTGGACGCTAAAGAGCCTTGGAATTCATGCCAGTATCCTCCCCCTTTCAATTGGATTCTTGGCCGTTCGGGGTCTGAACAATCGACTGTGAACAATCCGCATTCAGGAGGATCTCCCGTGCTTTTGAAGGGGAAGCTGATGTTGCCTGCTGAGCTGCAGAATTGGACTGGACAATGTTTGGCTTCAGCAGAGTGCAGAACCACAAGGTGAGCAAGAACGGAGAGAATAAACAAAGCCACCGGAGCCATCCGAGAATTCCCAACTGATCAACAAGAAGAAAGCGCCGCAAAGGAAGAAGAATAAGAAGATCTACTCCTCTAATTCAGAACAAGAGTGATAACTTGTAGAGGTTGAGAATTCTTTGTTTGCAATATAGTAACACCCCTGTTCACTTGGAATTTGGGAGACTGGAAGACTTGTGGGAACTATCCATGTACACGTTGCTTGACTGGAGACCGGAAGACTTCTCAACTTCCCCACTGACAAGCACCAGAAAGACTTTGACCCCTTGACTCTTAAAAGATAACATTAAAAAATCCTTGCAACTGCTCCGAACCCCACTGATTACGGAAAGGATTGAGTTGAGTGTTCAGTGTTCACTCGTCGCGTAGTGAAACATGTTCCGTTCCGTCTTGCTTGTGGGTCTACTTATTTGCCTGATCACTGAACAGCTTCAAAGCTGAAAGCCTGAAAAGCATCTCCTAGTAACAGTACTAACGTTGGAATTTAATTTAGTAAAACGTCATGACAAATTTGGTCGTTTGTGACTGCCATTTTCTCCACCGGTTTAAATGGGTTCGTGTGAAAAGTAAAAATAAATATGTAGAGGGCATGGCTCTATTTAAATTTCTTCTTAAAATCTTTTTCTTGTTGAAACCATTGGCAGTCAATATTGGTAGTTGAAAACATTAGCTGATGAATGCCCACATAAGTTCTTTGTCAATACCTACACAAATATGATGAAGACTTTGGAAACAAAATGTTGTAAATTTCAAACTTTAAGAATTTGTCATATGGATTCGCTCTATAAATAAAGCACTCCTACTACCATCGATGTATATACAGAGAGAAGATACAGAGAATACAGATCAGAACAAAAGGATCAATAATATCATTCATTCCTCTATCTTTTATTTGTCATTCACTTGAGCTTTAGTTTTAGTGTGATATTTTACATCTGCCTTGCACCTATCTAAAAGGTTATCCCTCTAACTTTTACATATTTATAACACGTTATCAGCACGAGTCTCTAAATATAACTATTTCTCATTCCTCTCGCCGAAAGAAAAAATGTTTCCTCTAAGGTTTTTACTCTTCATCTTTTTCCTCTGCCTCAATTGCGTGGTATACCCTCACGACGAACTGTTTGCTCCATGCTTGCTTCTAGTTCTCCAACGAACAGTTACATACATCTTTGATTTTTTGTTTGGTATAGATATTGATTACTAACCCAGTATTTATTTTTACTGCAATCCAAAATGGTGCGGTACAATCGCACATCTTGAACTGCAAATTTCATCTTACTGCAATCCAAGATGGTGCGGTATCATCGCCTATCTTGAATTATAAATTTTATTTTACTGCAAATTTTAGGTGGAGCGTATAATCGCCCGCCCTGCCCTGCCCTGCATATTTAATTTACCTGCAGTTTAATTTCATTGCAATTTTAGATGGTGCGATATAATCACCCACACTGCTATGCGTATTTAAATTTTTCCTGCTACTTGAGTGATGTGGAATAATCGTCCATTCTATGTTACATTATTTCAATGAGAATGGTGCGATACAATCACCCTCCTTATTCACCCTGAAAATCTTGAGCCAGAAGTTTCGAGTGCTTATCATTTTGGCCTGAAGATCGAAATGAAAAAAAAAATTGTAAGAATCAGAAGTTCTAACACTATATTTCTCCAGGAATACATATTGTTGCAAGTTCTTACACATCTCATTTTTCTTTCAGAAAAGAAAATGGCGAACTTGGCAAAGCTTGAATATGTTGTCCTGGACATTACCGGGAAGAATTACCTTACATGGGTACTGGATACCAAGATCCATCTGGAAGCAGGGAATCCTGGAGATACCATCAGGGAAGAGAACAACTCATTCTCTCAAGAACGGGCGAAGGCTATGATTTTTATTCGTCGCCATCTTGATGAGGCACTAAAGAGTGAGTACTTAACGGTTGAAGATCTGTTACCTCTCTGGCAGGCTTTGAGAAGCAGATACAATCACCAGACAACGATGATTCTTCCAAGAGCTCGCTATGAATGGACTTACCTAAGGATCCAGGATTTCAAGTCAGTGGCTGAGTACAATTCTACGTTGTTCAAAATTACATCTCAGATGAAGCTCTGTGAGGATACTATTATTGAGGAAATATTGCTGGAAAAGACTTTCAACACATTTCATGTCTCTAACGTGCTCATGCAGCAGCAGTATAGAGCACGAGGCTACACTGAATACAACCAGCTGATATCTGTGCTCCTGGTAGTTGAACAAAACAATAAGCTCATAATGAAAAACCATAATTCTCGACCTACTAGATCTGCACCATTCCCAGAAGTGAATAATGCTTCCATCGAAGTGAACGCCACATCCTCTGGTGGCAATAATCATAAACGAGGACGTGGCCACAAGCGAGGTCGATAGAATAGGAAAGGCAAGAACCATGGTGGTCAGTTTCACAACCAGGTTCCGAGGCATAATTCAGGCCCGAGCTTTAAAAATGTGAATCGCCACAAAGGTAAAGCTCACATGAACAATGCTCCCAGGAACTCTGAAGGAGCCTGCCATAGGTGTGGTGGCAATGGGCATTGGGCGCGCACTTGTCGTACCCCAAAACATCTGGTGGAGCTGTATCAAGCCTCCTTCAAGGTGAAGGGTGTCGAGACCAATTTTCTCGACCAAGCTAAACCAATAGATATACCTGATCCAGTATTTGATTTATCAGGGCAATTGGACACAACCCACCTAGATGTTTCAAACTTCATTATGGAAAGGGAGAATGAAGTATACCGGTCTGACTAAATCGTTTATGTTTGATGTACTTTTATTATGCTGAACTTGTTGTGTAAAACTAGCATTTCAGATTCAATAAAAGTAGTATGTAAATTTCTTGTTATAACTTGCTTTTAACTCTGATTCCCTTACTCAGAGAGCATGGATAAAATCTATGATCATTCTCAGAACATGAGAAATGGCGGAGATATCTGTCTTGCAGACTGCGCAACAACGCATACAATACTTCGAGATTGAAAGTATTTCTCAAACTTGATGTTTACAAAAGTAAAGGTAACAACAATATCAGGCCAATTAGATGTGATTGAAGGCTCAGGGAAAGCCCAGATTATGTTACAAAATGGCAATATTATCCATACAAAATGTGATGTACGCCACTCGATCTACTCGAAACTTGTTGAGTTTCAAAGACATACGTTTAAATGGATACCACATGGAAATGAAAAGTGCAGAAAATGTGGAGTATCTATGCATTACCTCCAATGATACCTAGAAGCATATATTGGAGAAGTTGCGTAGTTTGTCAAGTGGATTGTATTATACATACATAAAGACAGTTGAATCACATACTGTCATGAACCAGAAGTTCATTGATTCAAAAGTTTACATGTTTTGGCATGACCGTCTGGGTCATCCAGGATCCACCATGATGCGTATGATCATTACCAACTCTAATGGACATCCATTATTGAGCAGAGACATTGCTATCTCAAATAATAACCCTTGCAAGGCTTGTTCTCAAAGGAAGTTGGTAATTAGACCATCAATTAGACCATCACAACTAAAGGTTGATGTTGAATCCCCATCATTTCTGCAAAGAATTCAAGGGGATATTTGTGGACCTATTCAACGATCTTGTGGACCATTTCGATATTTTATGGTTTTGGTTGATGCATCTACCAGATGGTCACATGTTTGTCTCTTGTCTACTCAGAATGTAGCTTTTGTGAGACTTTTTGCTCAGATAACTAAATTACGAGCACAGTTCCCAGATTATCCCATTAAGTCAATCCGACTTGATAATGCTGGTGAATTTACGTCTCAAACTTTTGATGATTACTGCATGATATTGGGCATTAATGTTGAACACTATGTTCCTCATGTCCATACTTAAAATGGTTTAGCAGAAGCATTGATCAAGCGACTTCAATTAATAGCTCGCACTCTGCTTATGAAAACCAAATTGCCAGTTTCTACATGTGGACATGCCATCCTACATGCTACATCATTGGTTCGATTGAGACCTATAACCAACCACCAATACTCCTCAATACAACTCATGTTTGGATATCAGCCAAACATTTCACATTTACGAGTTTTTGGTTATACTGTTTATGTGCCTATTGCACCCCCGCAACGCACTAAAATGGGACCTCAGCGTAGACTGGGAATTTATGTGGGTTTTGATTCACCATCTATCATTAGATATTTGGAACCCTTGACAGGTGATATGTTTACAGCTCGTTTTGCTGATTATCATTTTGATAAGACATTCTTCCCATCGTTAGGGGGAGAAAAAATTGTTCCAAAAGAACGGAAATAACTGACATGGGTTGTTCCCACCTTGTCTCATTTTGATCCTCGAAGCATTCAATATGAAAATGAAGTAAAAAGGATCGTTCATCTTCAAAGCATTGCCAATCAAATGCCAGATGCATTTAATGATGCTATGAAAGTGACAAAATCACATATACCAGCTGCAAATGCACCTGCCAGAATTGATCCTTGTTGGACAAAATAAAGTGGCAGCGAATGATTCATCTGGTGCACGCCTGAAGCGTAGTAGACCACCAGGTTCAAAAGATTCAGCCCCTCAAAAGAGAAAGACAATGACACAGCTGAATCCAAATGAAATCATTCAGGAAGAGGGAATGAATGACAAATCTACAATTCATGATTCTGGACTTCTAGAAGAAGAAAATGTCCTTGATGAAACACATGTCCCTGAAGAGACAGAAGTACATGAAAGCAATGAAATCTCCATAAATTATGCACGTACTATTGAATTGTGGGATCAGAATGAAATAATCATTGACGATATGTTTGCATTCGCAGTAGCCACTAAAATCATATTAAATGATAATGTTGAGCTCCACTCTGTTGATGAGTGCAAACAGAGACAAGATTGGCCTAAGTGGAAAGATGCAATCCAGGCAGAATTAAATTCCTTGGAAAGATGAAGTGTTTTTGGATCAGTAGTCCAAACCCCGTCTGGTGTAAATCCTGTGGGTTACAAATAGGTATTCACATGGAAACGCAATGAGAAAAATGAGATTGCAAGATATAAAGCACGACTCGTTGCACAAGGATTTTCACAAAGACCTGGAATTGATTATGAGGAGACATACTCTCCTGTAATGAATGCAATTACGTTCCGTTACTTAATAAGTTTAGTGGTTTCAGAAAAGCTTGACATGCGACTTATAGTGTTATCACTGCGTATCTGTATGGAGAATTAGATACTGACATATATATGAAAGTCCCAGAAGTACTCAAGTCGCCTGAAACAGCTAACAAACCACGAGGTATGCTCTCGATCAAATTAAGACGACCATTGTATGGGCTAAAACAATCTGGACGAATGTGATATAATCGTCTCAGTGAGTATTTGATTAAAAAGGGTATATCAACAATGTCATTTGCCCTTGTGTGTTCATTAAGAAATCCAACTCTGGATTTGCTATAGTGGCAGTATATGTCAATGATATGAACCTAGTTGGAACTCCTGAAAAGTTACATAAAACTACTGAATATCTGAAAAGCAAATTTGAAATGAAAGACCTTGGAAAAACGAAATTTTGTCTTGGCCTGCAGATCAAGCATTGTGCTAGCGGAATTTTGGTCCACCAATCAGTTTACATTGAAAAAATCCAGAAGCGAGTATGGACAAGGCTTATCCACTCAGCACGCCAATTGTCGTTCGTTCTCTGGACATTAAGACAGATCCATTCCGTCCAAAAGAAGATGATGAAATGGTCCTTGGTCCAGAAGTATCATATTTGAGTGCAGTAGGTGCTTTGTTGTATTTAGCACAATGTATTATACCAGATATAGTTTTTTCAATCAACTTGTTAGCCAGGTATAGCTCTGCTCCAACAATTCGTCATTGGAAGGGTGTCAAAGATGTATTGCGATACCTTCGTGGGACAACATATATGAGTCTCTTCTACTCAAAGAACTCCACAAATGACCAGGTCCTTGTCGGATATACAGATGCTGGTTTCCTCTCTGATCCGCATAAAGCCTACTCACAAACTGGATATGTGTTCAAGAATGGAGATACATCAATCTCATGGTGTTCAACAAAGCAAACATTAGTTGCTACATCTTCAAATCATTCAGAAATACTTGTTTTACATGAAGCAAGTCGTGAATGTTCTTGGTTAAGATCAATAATCTATCATATTCGGAATTCATGTGGTTTGACTTCGAAGATAGACAATCCAACTGTCATTCATGAAGATAATGCAACCTATGTTGCCCAAATGAAGGAAAGATTCATCAAGGGCAATAAGACTAAAAACATATCTCCAAAGTTTTTCAGTGCACATAAGCTTAAGAAGGCTAAAGTTATTGAAGTCAGACAAATCCGTTCTAATGAAAATCTGGCAGACTTGTTCACCAAGTCTCTACCAAAATGCACGTTTCAAAAGTTAGTGCAAAGTATCGGATTACGTCGACTTACCAAACAGCTAAATTTGAAGAATGCGGAATTAATGGGAGATACATCTCAGGGGGAGCATCCATGATACATGCTTGTTGTACTCTTTTTCCTTCGATTAAGATTTTTCCTACTGGGTTTTTCCTATTAAGGTTTTAACGAGGCAACATAAGCATACTTAACACTATATTAACAATCCAGGTAAAGTTGTACTCTTTTTCCTTCGCTATGGTTTTTTCCCACTGGGTTTTTCCAAGCAAGGTTTTAACGAGGCAACTAATGTTGATATGTGGGCATCTAAGGGGGAGTGTTGAAACCATTGGCAGTCAATATTGGCAGTTGAAAACATTAACTGATGAAACCATCGGCTATCTGATGAATGCCCACATAAGTTCTTTGTCAATACCTACACAAATATGATGAAGAGTTTGGAAACAAAATGTTGTAAATTTCAAACTTTAAGAATTTGTGTATGGATTCACTCTATAAATAGAGCATTCCTACTGCCATCGATGTATATACAGAGATAAGATACAGAGAATACAAATCAAAACAAAGGGATCAATAATATCATTCATTCCTCCATCTTTTATTTGTCATTCACTTGAGCTATAGTTTTAGTGTGATATTTTACATCTGCTTCGCACCTATCTAAAAGGTTATCCCTTTAACTTTTACATATTATAACATTTCTATTTTACTATAAATAAATAAAGTACATTGGGCTTTTTCGTTGTTCAGAAAGTAAGCTGAGCTACTCATCCCTAACAAAAAATTTACAAAGTAAATGGGCTAAACTGGACCGCTACATGACCCGTTTTAGAGGCCCATATTGAGTTTACCCAACCCAGACAATATTTTTAACAAAACGAGGAATTAAAACCTTCATGCGCACCGTTTCGGTTAAAAAGGAGACGAACCGGTATATTCCAGAGACTTCTTTCCTTTTTTTGTTTTTGGTTAAGTTTTAGAGTAAATTGTAGCTATAGTCCCTTAACTTTAACTCAATTGGAGCAATGATCCCTCAACTAAAAATTCATTACCATTGGTCCCTCAACTTTAATTCAACTGGAAAAATGGTCCCTTAACTTTAACCCAATTGTAGCAATGGTCCTTCCAACATAACTCGTTTTGACAAAAATTTTGACGTAGTTGACGAAAATGACCATAATTACACACTTTGATGAGTTGAGGGACCCTAATTATATAAATGGTTATTCCAACATAACTTATTTTGATAAAATTTTGACGAAATTGATGAAAATGACTATAGCTACACATTTCGATAAGTTGAGGGACAAATGATAATGGATTTTTAGTTGATGGATCATTGCTCTAATTTGATTAAAGTTAAAAGATCATTGCTACAATTTACTCTCTTAAGGAATAAGAAATTTTGTGATTGTAAAATCTGGGATGATTTGGTGGGTTAGGAACTGATTAGGGAGTTAATAAAGCTTTTGACTGTTGCATGCAAGAATTGGGTATTAAGTAAAATGCACTTAAAACTTAAAAAGCTTCCAACTTTATTGAAAGTGGTTTTGATCAGAGCACTTGTTTCTGTGATTCATCACGGATTCATGCCCTTCTTTGCAATTTTTTGAACTCATTGGAACGATTCTTTGTTGGTTAACAACGTGTGAACGCGGTTCGATTGTTTTAGCTATTTGCTTGTGGAATCGGAGTCAAATATCATCTTCGTGTTCATGGGTTTAACTAAGGAATTGAGAATGTTGATAATATACAGCATCCTTCTTGCAGAGATCTCTTATAAAATATAAAAGCTTGCATTCTCTTCGAGTTGGGACCTAACGATTTTATCTCCAGGCAATCAATTTGTTATTGCAATTCAGGTTTTGATTGTTTGTGTCTCTGCTTTTTTTTGTTCGGGAATCATTTTATTTGTTCGCGTGCAGTGTTAGACTCCGAGGAACAATTACTGCTGCTGTAGTGAAAACAATGGCATCCCAATTTTTGAGATTTACCTGTAAAGATTTAAAGATTATCTAGAAAGTTTTTTCTAGTTTGATTTTGAACTGATAAGAGGCATGTTACAAGGTAGCAAGGGAGTTATTTGCCTTCACAAAATGTATAATCTTTCTATCCACATCTGTTATACATGGAATTTGAATTGGGAAGAGCTGCCTCACACTACACTGGAGATTATCTTTGAGCGACAGCCTCTGATTGATTGTATCTCTGTTAATGATGTTTGCAGAGCTTGGAGAAACGCTATTGGACAGGAACTTTCTTGTTGGCAAAGGCGTGGTGTCCCGTCCCGTGGCTCATGACTTCTGGCCACAGAGACGGACATGTAAGGACTTGTGGACTTGTCTTAGCATATTACATAATCAAGATTGGGGATCATATCAAGATTGGTTGATTCTAGTGAAAGAAGTCGATTGTTACAACCTTGAGTTCATAGTCAACACCGGGAGCTTGCATTTTGGGTCCGCGGAGCTCAATCATGGCTTAAACATAAGCTAGATGGTGAGCCGTTTGAGGATGCTGTCTTCTCAGATGGAAGTTTCTATCTTCTAAGCAGTGACTATAGCATTTCGAAGATTAAGGTTACTAATGTTCTTGCTGCCATCAGAACAGAGGATGATCATGAGATAAAAACAGATAGCCATTAAGTAAAAATGTCCGAGGAGCAGGAAAATTACGGTGTGTTGAAGTATCTTGTGCAATCTTGTGGAGAGCTTCTACTTGTTTGTAGGTTTTATAGCCCCGAACCTGATGCTGTTCTTGAAACACATGATTTCAAAGCATATAAACTGGATTTCAGCCGGATGGCATGGAAGAGGGTACATGATTTGGGCGCCGCGTTTGTAATTGTGTTCATATAAGAACTTGACTGCAACTTCCCGGCCATCTTTGAGTTTCCCTAAATTGGATTGATTAAAGCGTTTGTAATTGTGTTGAATATATAATGATTGCAGGAGTGGTAGTAAGAGGGTCGCTCCTACTGTGTTGATTCATTCATCTATAGAAATGAACAAAACAAAAATGAAATGCTTACTTTATTATTCAGATTGCCTCAGAAAAAACATAGATTTGTTCAAGTAAAATACAGGATTTTTACTGAATTGATACCAATGTGGTAGAAGAATCTACCGGGGATTTTGGAGGAGAAGACAAGTAAGGCTTGGGTGGTATCTGCAATGAATCAACACTCCCTTCCAACATATCTATCACTTCCTTTATCGCTGGCCGGTTGGAAGGATCAGTTTGTATGCACCACAAGCTCACTATGATCATCTTCCTTGCTCTTACTTTGTCTTCCTCATTCGTAACACTCTGCAGACCAATCTCTTCGTCCAGTTCAAGACGCTTGTAAATCCAATGCGGAAAATATATTTCACTTGTATTTTCAGCTTCAGTGTCGATGTTCCTTCTTCCTCCAACCATCTCCGAAAGCATCATTCCGTAGCTGTACACATCGGACTTGTGTGAGACCTTTCCAAAGTTTCGAGAAAATACTTCTGGAGCAATGTAACCTGCTGTACCTCTAGCTCCCAACATCGACACAATGCTCTCGTTCCTGTTGCATATTTTGGCAAGGCCAAAATCCGAGATTTTTGGGGTGAAATTTTCACTGAGAAGAATGTTGTGAGGCTTGATGTCAAAATGCAAAATTCGTGTGTTGCAACCACGATGTAAGTACTCCAATCCTCGAGCAATACCCAGTGAAATTTGATCCAGAGTTTCCCATCCCAAGTGATGATGATCATTCTTGGGAGTACTTGCATCAAATATGAACTTCTCGAGCGATCCATTAGGCATGAATTCATAGATCAGAGCCCTCTTCGAACCCTCAAAACAGTAGCCCAACAAGGAGACGATGTTGACATGGGAAGTTCGACTAATGGCTGCCACTTCATTCATAAATTCTTCTCCATCTCCTTTCAGTTTGGTCAAGACCTTCACTGCTACAAGACGGCCGTCCTTTAACTTTCCTTTGTAAACAGCACCATAGCCTCCTTGTCCTAATTTTTCTTTGAAGGAGTTGGTCATTTTCTTGACCTCCGAATAGCTATGCCTTTGAACTTGAAGCGGCCCGTAGCTCCTTAGAAGGGCCTCAACAATTTGATGTTTTTGGATACGCTTCTTCCAAAAGAAACAGCAGACAACAACTAGAACGACGATAACAGAAGCTGCACCAACTGTTAAAGGAGAGTTAAATTTGATTGAAGGTATGTTATGCAGAGCAATCAATGGACTTTGCCAACGTGTTTAAACGCTTGCTCATTCCGTGATTCCTAGAAAATTAATCCAGAGGGATTGGGGAATGACTGATTTCCGTGCTTTGGTTCTAGCACTTGTCCTAGATGAGTATGCATACCAATTAGATATCTTAAATGTAGAGATATCAATCTTACCTAGTCCTAGCTTCAATTTCACCTGCTTATCTCCTGCAACATGAATTGCAATGAAAACTGCTGTTAACTAAATTACAGAAGATGGAAGTGGCATAAATTATGTTACCATTCAAAAAAAAAAAGAGGCTAATGCATATATAACAATCATTTAATACTTTGTGTCTCGATAAACTGTTAGTTAGGCCATCTCCAACCGAAGGGTCCAGAGGGCCAGAGGGCCGAAAATAGCCCTAAAACCGTCTCCAACCGAGGGCTAGGCCAGAGGGCTCGGGAATCTGGGAGGGCCCCACGGGATCAGAGAGGGCTGGAGGGCTGGAGGGCTGGCTGCTTTCGGCCAGCCAGCCAGCCCCGGGCTGGCTATTTTTTTTTTTAATGTTTCTTATTTCTGTCGGTTACAACCGACAGAAATAACATTTTGAATTCAAACTTCCAACGGCTAGCGCCACTAGCCGTTGTAAATCCTTTTTTTTTTTTTTTTTATGAATTTAAACCTTTTTTTTCTTTTTTTTTTCTATAACTTCCTATAACTTCTATTTTACAAAATTTGTTTCAATTTTTTTTTAATTCTATTTTTTTCCTATAACTTATATTTTACAAAATTTGGGTCATATTTTTTTCATATAACTTCTATTTTTACAAAAAATTTGTTTCATATTTTTTTTTTAAATTCCATTTTTTCCTATAACTTCTATTTCACAAAATTTGTTTCATATTTTTTTTAAATTCTAATTTTTTCCTATAACTTCCTAAGCCATTATACAACATTAAATTAAATTAAGTAACATGAAACAACATTAAACAATATGAAACAACATTAAATAACATTAACCGACATAAAAATTATACAACACTAACCAACATGATTTTTAAATAAAATTAAGTTGTAGTTTTTAAATATTTTTAAATAATAAATTATGTTTGGCCCTATGGCCCTTTGGCCCTCGGTTGGAGACGGTTTTTTTTTACAGGGCTAAAACGAGCCCTCTGGCCCTCTGGCCCTCGGTTGGAGACGGAGGCAAATATGGCCAGCCATCGGTTGGAGATGGCCTTATATCATTTGAAGAAAGGAATCGGATTATCGTACGTCAGAGAATGAAAAAACAGGTCATGTAAATGTATATACCTTTTTCTCTGGCGGCGCATTTATAATTTCCATATTCAACCAGGCATTCACCTTTTCTTTCACGACATTGATAACATTTTCGTGCTTCCACTTCGAGGGAAAACTCAGCAGTCAATGAAGACAACGTGATGGGTTGAGACGGAGACGGAACTATGGGGACCTGAATGGTTGCACACCCTGGCGGCGGGGGGTTAGTTAAACTACTGCTAAATGAAGCGGTATAATAAGTATGGTTAGCATTTCCGCAGCCATAATTAAGTTGTGGGTAAGAATTTTTGTCTAAGGTGGTGTTGCATTTGAAAAGGGTCAGATCGTGTGTGAATAATGGTACTTCAACGATTGGAGAAGCGCTGGGAAGACTCAAGTCGTCGAAAACTCCATCATCGCAGCGATCCTTTTCTAAGCGGTCGGCAAGGTCTCTGTCATTGATAGAAATCGAAGGTGAAAATAAAGAGCCTTGGAATTCATGCCAGTATCCCCCCTCTTTCAATTGGATCTTTGGCCGATCGGGTTCTGAACAATCAACTGTGAACAATCCGCATTCAGGAGGATCTCCCGGGCTTTTGAAGGGGAAGCTGATGTTGCCTGCTATGTCACTGCAGAAGTGGCCTGGACAATGTTTGGAGGGTTCCGCTTCTGAATATTCAGCAGAGTGCAGAACCACAAGGTGAGCAAGAACGGAGAGAATAAACAAAGCCACCGAAGCCATCCGAGAATTCCCAGCTGATGAACAAGAAGAAAGCGCCGCAAAGGAAGAAGAATAAGAAGATCTACTCCTCCTCAAATTCAGAACAAGAGTGATGAATTGTAGAGGTTGAGAATTCTTTGTTTGCAATATATTAACACCCCTGTTGACTTGGAATTTGGGAGACTGGAAGACTTGCGGGAACTAACCATGTAAATGTTGCTCGACTTAAAAGACTTCCATGGCCTACTAGGGGAGTTTCCTTCTCAACTTCCCCACTGACAAGCACCGGAAAGACTTTGAACCCTTGACTCTTCAAAGACAACATTCAAAAGTCCTTGCAACTCCTCTGAACCACACAGATTACGGAAAGGATTGAGTGTTCAGTGTTCACTCGTGGCGTCGTGAAACATGTTCCTTTCCGTCTTGCTCTGGGGTCTACTTATTTGTGTGAACACTGAACAGCTTCAAAGCTGAAAAGAAAAGCATCTCCTGGTAGTAGTACTAACGTTGGAATTTAATCTAGTGAAAGGTCATGTGGATTGTAAAGAGGCACATATATAGTTTGTTGTATTTTGGTTACAAGTCTATTACAACTGTTCATGTAATTAATTACTAGATTAGTCAGTTAACCAGGTGTAATTAGTTACTAAGCTATTTTTCGCAAGTGTATATAAACCTGTTGTAATTTCTTATTCATTAAGAAATGAAATTACCAGAGTTATTTCTTATATGGTATCACTCGCCTCTCTACTCATGCACCGATCCTAGCTTCTTCTGCAATCTTTGATTTCTATTCCCAAATTTGTTTTCTCCCTGCAAAATCTTGATCGACAATGGCATCTTCTACCTCTTCGCCTGCAAATCCAGAAGTCTTCGCCTGCAACCTCAATTCTGGAGCAACAGAGGCAACAAGGCCAAGCTGGGGCAAGAAGGTGGTGAGAACACCCGAGCATCGATGTATCTCTTAAATATAAATTGAAGACTAGAGTTTATTTTACTATTTCTCATTTTTGACCACATAGAAAATATTTTCATTTTTTTAAAATTTATTTTATAATAGGCGACCGTAGCACAAGATTTAAATAAAATAAAAAACTAATGAAAATGATTAAATTTTTTTGAATTTAACGAAAATAATAAAATTAAAATTAAAATAAATAATATTATGATTAATTTTTAATATAAAAATATGATTTATAATTAAAATAAATAGTACCATAAATTTTTCAGTTAAAGTTCTATTTAATCAAACGTGGTGATCTGAAGCAAAAGTCCAAAAAGGCGCGTAACCTCACGCATCCGGAACGTCGTGGCTCTGAGTTGAGAATTAATTGATAAATAAAAAAGTCTATTCAATTTCTTGATAAAATCGAATGGGGATAAGAAGGAAAATGACACCTTCCATCTAGCAGAGCGAATCCAGCCATACACGTGTGCAGCGTTTCCCTCCATCACACGTGTAGGCAGCTGAGTCCCTCACCCCAATGACTAATCCGTGTGGCCTCGATGCCACCAATCGCAACCATGTTTAGTAAAGCCTTTCAGATCTTTTCCATTTAGTCATTAGATAACGCTCAAACTCACCCCACTCCCACACACAATCAGATTACCTAAATTGCCCTTATCTAACCACAAATTTTCTACCACTCATCGACTAGTTTCTTCTCTTATTCAATGAAAAGCACCCGGTACTGTTCACTTTAACGAAAAATCATACTTTTTACACTAAAAAGTCAATCATGTTACTATTCACTTTACCCTTTATTTTATCCTTATCATTAAAACTCAAAATTTTCAAACCATTTTCATTAGTTTTCCTTAATTAATAATGTCACTCAATGTTACAATCTGATAGTATTTTTATTTACTTATACATGAGAATTTTAAGTTTAAATATCACGAACGATGAATAAGATACCAAATTAGGTTGCGAAAACTCTGGTTTAGCCGAACCTCACCATCCCCTTTGTCTAAATATATTTTTGTATTACAAAAATCAATAATTTGACTCAAATTACAATATGTAACTTTTTTTATTAATACGCTGAGAAACTGTACAAAATGTAAGTTGTGTTATGCGTAAAAAAGGAATATATCAATTACATTTTTTAATATTTTTACAAACGTAAAATGGTACAAAACGTAACTTGTGTACTGATTTTGCACAAAAAATTTCCAATTTAAAAGCCTCACAAAAATTCAACAAAAAACAAGGTTGTAATTTTCTGAATTGAGTGCCCCCGTTGCATTAAGTCATGGGCGCCAAAGTTGTTGGCAAGTTGTTTTTTAATTATTTATATTTAACAATAAGGATTTAAAAAAAAAATTGTTTTGTTCTTCTCCTACCCCTACGCCGTACCCCCATCCTTTTATACAGAGCCTGCTTCGCCGTTTGCTTTCTTCTTTCGCCTTCCTCCCATCGCTTCCCTTTCCCCTACTATTCCAACTTATATTACCATATTGCCCCTCAATACCTACCCCTATCATCGTCTTCTTCTTCCGCCAGATCCATAGTGTTTTGCTATTCCGACTCAGCCCCTGCAACTCCAATCTTTTCCGATCCGATTCCCCCAATTTTCTCGATCAACCCTAATTTTGACAAACCCTAGAGGCGCTGATCCCCTTAATACCATCGCCCAGTTGTTCTCGGTTTGTTCCAATCCCGTTGACTTTGTTTCTGGGTTTAAGACGCTCTGCGTGCAGAGGGGGACCGGATATAAGGCTCTCGTTGAGCCAGTTTCTGCTTCGCCTTTCACGCGATGTTGGGTACGGGATTGCAGGTTACGCGCGGCCGCGGAGAGGATCGATTTTACAATCCGGCGAGAGCTCGTAGGGCCCACCAGAACCAGAAGGCGGAGCAACTTCGCAGAGCTCAGAGCGACGTCACGCCCAGTCCGTCTCCTTCCTTGAAGGGTAATCCCAACCGGGAGCCGGAGAACCGGACCGGGTCTGATGAGGCGCCCAACCCCTTCGCCGTGCCCGCTTTTGAGCCCGTCGTGAAGCCCTTGAGTAATCTCGACCGGTTCTTGCAGTCGATCTCTCCGTCCGTCCCCGTTCAGTACCTCTCCAAGGTGTTTGCTTGAATCTAATTTGTGTAATTTTTTGGGGGTTTTTTTTTTATTTTTTTTGTTGATCTTGTAATTAATTGTTTGGTTGCAGAGGACGATGAGAGGATTGAGTACATGCGACGTGGAATGTCAGCCATACTTTGTTCTGGGGGATTTATGGGAGTCCTTCAAGGAGTGGAGTGCTTATGGTGCAGGAGTGCCTCTGATTTTGAATGACAGTGACTCTGTGGTTCAGTACTACGTCCCTTACCTGTCCGGCATTCAAATATACGGCCACTCTGCGAAATTGGCAACTAAGACAAGGTATACATTTTACTCCATACTTTTGGCTTAATTCGATTTATCATTTGTTTTGTAGTTTAGAAGAATTTTGATATAGTTCTAGTTGATTATAGTCACATGCATGCATTGTTTGTATTTTCTTTCTTGATAGTGAATCAGTGATAACTGATAAGTGTGCCGTTATCTCTCTGCAAAATGATTTTTGTCCTGCATTTACTTAGAGGTAAATCCAAAACTGAATTTGAGAATTTGTTGTTGTTCTTGATTGTATGGCGCATGCACTTATGGTAAACAGGTTTCATGGATTACTATGTTTGTTTACTCCTTGCATCAGAATATGTACTTTTAACGGAATCAGTGTATACTGACTATTGCCCGTTGCTTACTTTAGTTTACATATTTGCTTTTTGTCAAAACATGAATGGTTTATTTCATTCATTTTTGTTATTCAAAGTTTGATGGTCGTTTATTGATAGGCGACCAGATGAGGACAGTGATAGTGACTTCAGGGATTCTAGCAGTGACGGTAGCTGTGAGTACGAAACTGATAGACTAAAATATTTGAGTGAGCAGCAGAATCACCAAATTATGTCTAGTGAAATTCCTCGTAGGATAGAAAGATTATCTTTAAGAGACCCGCATTTACCACCCCACGAAGACTGTTCCAGTGACGAGGGCGAATGTATAAATTCCCAAGGTTGCTTACTGTTTGAGTATTTTGAACGGGACCTTCCTTATTGTCGTGAGCCTTTAGCTGACAAGGTTATAATTTCATTTCTCTCTAGAACAAATAGTAATATATCTTGCTATTTATGACCTCCCTTTTTTCGGATGTTGTTCTGAACTTTACCTTTCTACAGATACTAGATCTTGCGTTCCATTTTCCTGAGCTAAAGACACTAAGAAGCTGTGATCTACTGTCACCCAGTTGGATATCTGTTGCATGGTACTATAGATCACTGTTTTTGTTTACTCGTTGTACACTGTCGTGTGACTAATTGGTTTTGGTATGACCTTTTCAGGTATCCAATTTATAGGATTCCAACAGGACCAACTCTAAAGGATCTTGATGCGTGCTTTCTAACATACCATAAACTTTTTACACCCATGAGAGGTACTTTTTAACCCTTTTAGTTTTGCTTAGGATGGAAGTTTGTTCCCTGACATTTGGTCTGCATAATTGATACTCTTGAGATGACACGTTATTTCATTTTGTTGTTTTGGTCTGATTTTATAAATTGTAATCATACATCATAAATGGGATACCACGTTGTTTCGTTTGGTGATTTGGTCTGATAATATATCTTTTATTCATATAGCATAATAAAAAAGGTCGTACCCAGTGCACAAGGCTTCCGCTTTACGCAGGGTCTGGGAGAGGTGAATGTTATTCATATAGCATAATGAAATAACAAAATCATATGCCATATATTAGTTTAACTGCTTATGTAGTTGATTTTCTTACAGATTTTATCTTTTAATTTTAGCATTTACTACAATGTGGGGATTTAGCATTGTTGATCAAAGAAAGTTATTGTCAATGCACCACGTATGCTGATATCTGCATTATGCCCAAGTTTATCTTGTCTTATCCCTTGTACGTGCATGCTTCCATGTCAAAATGGACGTACAATATGGTAGACAGATATCGAGGATGATTTCATTACGTGTGAAGTATAACTAGATTTTAAATGTGAAACTTGTCTCTTCTTTGATTATGTTTCAGGTGTACAAGATGACCGGGTTCCTGTATTGACATATCCAAGTGACATGGATGGTGTCCCTAAGATGTTGTTACCTGCTTTTGGCCTTGCTTCATACAAATTCAGAGGTTCATTGTGGACGTCGAGTGGTGGATGTGAACACCAGTTAGCCAGCATTCTTTTGCAGGATGCTGACAACTTTCTAAGAAAGCATCGGGTCAATCACCCAGATTTTCTGTTTTTTAACCGTAGATGATATCAAGAGGATGCTAACTGTGATGCTACTACCACCGTTCTAGAAGTGAAGCCTTTTGCACGGGTTACTTGTGAAAATTCTCTTTATTTTGTTAAACTCATGGTGGCAAGTTGGTTTGCGGTGATTCTGTCGTTTGGTTTTCTGTTATTTACTACAGGAGAAAGAAAAGAAAACGAAAAAAGAAAAGGATGAAGGGTAACCCACAGAAGAAAAGTCAAAGCTTTTGGCATGAGATGAAAGAGGCTCAGTAAAAAGTGAATAGAAGGAAAATATAGTTAGATAATCTATAGAAGGTCTAGCTCTAAATGGAAGTTACTGCTTTTGATGTAAGCAAGTTTTTATTTTGTTGGTAGTAAGAAGAGTACATTACTATAAAAAAAGATAAACCGGGCTCTTTTTTATGCCGTGATATGATGTTAATTATTAGTATGTAATCCTGTCTAAAGGGGGTTTTGATTTAGAGATAACCGTAAGTGTTAGTTTTTTCTTCCCCAAATGTGTATCTGAATCGCATCCGACATCACTTAATGAGATAAGGCGTTAAGTGTGTTGTTGCTGCTTATCTGCCGGGTTTGTAATCTTTGTTTCTCTTGCTAAATGAAATCGAGTTCAAGGAGTCGGTCGTCATTCTTTTGTCATGGCAGCTGGAAGAAGAGTTTTTATATTAATCTCGTGTTTTAAGCGCAGATTTATAAGGGAAGCATCTCTTTCATAACGAATTGGAAGTGAGGAGAAATTAATCAGCATCGTTTTCAAGCAGCAAGTCATGAAACTTTGTCTCCAAGGCCTTGGAACATATCCGACTCTTCGTCCGGTAAAACGACGTCAGATCAGATATCTGCTCTATCGACATCTTCCCGATGAAGGCCTTCGCAACTTTCTCCCTCTCCTCGCACATCTTCAGTTGTTTCATGTATGCAGAAGCGTTTCTTACTGTTGCCCCCATCTGCTTCAGCCTTGTCTCTTGCTGCAAGCTCAATGCCGTATTAGCCTGATATCATACCGTTCGGAACAACACACCATTAAAATCGAACTATCATGACAACCTACAAGAACTAGAAACTATGTTGCGGGTTGGTTATGCTGTGTGGAGATGTTTTAATACTGACCTCCAGAAACTCAGCTCCGACGTCGAGTTGATCAGACTCTCTTCCGGAAACAATTCCACGCTTCGAGTACATGTTTCTTGCTACTGAGAGGCTCGTTACGATGTTCCTTCTCTTCATCTCTTGATCATGGTTAAGCTTTGGAGATTTTGGCACACATGCTGTGGTTCCATTGAGCTTCTTTTCGTAAGCTCTCACTGCTTTGACAAATTCCTGCAGATACAGCTAATTTTGACCATAAAATTGGCAAAAAACATGACAAACTAGAAGAAATTCAGTTCGTGCCTGATATGCAGACGGGCATCCTGGATACTCAAAATCATCCGAATCGGGTTTTCGCATTCTCTCCGGATGAAACTGAAGCCCCATGATAAACTTACCCTCGTCGGGATTATAAGCATCCGGCTCATAAAATCCTTCAACCAAACCATCCGGAGAGAAAGCCATCGGCACGAACCGCGGCGCCAATCTCTTCACCCCCTGATGGTGATAACTATTCACAGATATCTCCATTCTCTCACCATCCAAGGAGTCTTTAAACCATCCATGCAAAGGCGTATTTTCCACCACCTTCACCACATGCCTATGCTCGTCGTAATTCTCATAGCTTATGTGAGCAACTCTTTGAGTATTTTCCGGGCATTCCTTCGAGAGCTCGCTATCAACGTCTTGATAGAGCGTGCCGCCACACGCGACGTTAAGGACTTGGGAGCCTCTGCATATTCCCAAGTACGGGATGTTTCTTTCTAGGCATAGCTTTGCAAGCCCTAGTTCTATTGAATCTTTCTCTTTGTCGATGGCGGTGTCGCTAGCATGGAGCTTTCTGATCTCTTCTAGCTCTCCGGGAGAGAAACCGGAGAGCTGCGCATCGTAATGGGATGGATCGATGTCTTCGCCTTCGCAGAGAAGGACTCCGTGGATTGGCTCGAAGCTTTGGAGCAGCATGTGGACTCCGCTGACTCTTGGGACGATGACAGGTACTGCTCCATAGCTTACTATTAGGTCTAGATGATATTCTCCTGTCCCATATGTTGAAAAACACGTTTTTAATTAACACACATGGTTGGTTTAACAAACGATAATTTTTGCACGTCAGCATTTAGCCGAGTTGGCAACAGCAATATTCTCTCCATTTGCATCAAAGTTTGGCTTAATAAAACAATAATCTATGTAACATATCTGCATTGGCTAAAGCAGCATACTCCCTTTGCACTATATATTTCGAATTCTCCGATTAGATTAAATAAGAATAACGCTCAAAATCGAGAAAGAACGTATAATTTTATTGTTGAACAAGGAAAATCAACATCTGAAAATCTGAGCAATGTAACGTCCAAAAATAGAAAAACTACCTAATAACACAAGTGTGAAAAATACGTGACGGAATCAATAGTTTGAGCAATATATATGGAAACAGATGGAAACTAACCCACAAAATCTACAAACTTGTTCTTGCGGACGGTTCGTCGGGAGACGATAAGAACCCGAGGTAAAACCGTGGACAAATCTGAATTAGCCATGGATTGTGGATACAGACAGAGTGACCAATTGCACAGAGAGCGAGAGAGAGAGAGAGAGAGTGTGCGTGCGTGCGTGTGTGTGTGTATATATATAGAGAGAGAAAGAGTGCTTAGTAATTAATTGATCGGGATTTTCGGACTCAAGTCTTTAAGACTGAGGTGTAATGCTGATTAATTGCTGATTATATATGTGATAGTGTGAATGGAGACGAAAATCTGGGAAGATTGATTTGTCCATGTCGTTTTGTTTCCTTGTTTGATGGCTTGGATTTTCTTTCTTTCTTTGGTTTGGTGAGCGTGTTGCGTTGTATTCGTCTAGGCGCGGCGTATCCAACATATGTTTGCCAAAGGAATTGGCCAATTATCCTTTATTTTCGTGCCATCTTGTTTAGCTTAGCGTTGTCTTAGGGAATTTGGATAATTACTAATTATTAGGATTTTGGATGATGCCTTAAATCCAAAAGTCAAACTGAGAATCACTGAATCGTGTTTTCGTAAACACGAGAACTAATAGGTGAACACTGATACGATCATTTATGTGGATCAAAGCATTAATGAGATACAAAAATAACACGAGTATCAATAGGTGAACTTTAGTATGATCGCTTATGTGGATTGAACATCTATTCAACAATGAGTTATAGTTAAACAAAATTGAAGTATAGAAGGTTTTATAGAAAAGAATAATTACTTGAAGGGAGAGTAACAATGCAATGACGTGTTATGTACTGTCACGTAGAAATAATCCATGGAGTCCAGCATGCACTGCCACAGTAACATCTTCGATATAAGCTTCTATCTTATTTGCAGGGTTTCACTCTCACTAGCGGTGGGTTTCTTGATAAAGGCACACAATGCTGGCCCATAACCATATCTAACATACAGTAGAGGCCCAAGATGGGATGGGCTGCTGTTTTTTAGTGTTGGCCCAATATAGAAGGGGTAGTTTTGAGATTAAATAGTTGTTGCTGGTTTAGTGATGTGGACAGTGGCACGGGGACTAATCAACATCCAAGATTTAAAAGGGTGACCTGCTATTTCCGGTTTGAGAACCGGGGAATCTGGCAATCCGACAATCCAACCCGCTCTCTTGCAACCTGTCCAAAACCGATTATCCGGATACATGTTAAAAAAAGGGTCCCACATCCACGGGCAAGGATTCTCTCCAAAAAAAATTTTGTGAGAAATTAGAAATTAATCAATCGTGTCTGTTCGTATATTGTGCGGTCAGTTTTTTTTTCTTTTTTAAATACAAAGAGTTGAATAACTTCATTTCATTCTCAGGTAATGAAAACAGAATTTAATGGGATAGAAATATGATCCGGTGTAAAAGGTACAATGATATAATTATTTGAATTTTTTCTCGTTTAAGTTTATAATATTTATACATAGAAATGTATTCCCAATAAACTAAAAATGTGAAAAATAAAGAACTATAATAACTTAGCGTAAAGATTAATTGTCACACGCATACGCGTGTGGTAAGAGACTAGTTATTTTTAGAGAAAAACATTTTAACCTCAAAATTATAGGGGAAAATTGCTAATTATTCAACAATTGCCATATACTTGAAAAATTAATCAATTTGTGCCACAATTTAATTTGTTGTTAGACGAGCAGCGCAGAGCTCACTCACTCCTTGATCCTTGTAAAAAGTTTGAAGCTTGAAACTCGAAATGTAGGAAATTCAAATCCAACCTCATCTAAAAAGCAGCGACAAATTCCCCATTTTTCTTCGCCAAGACCCAAAAATAGACAAAAGGAAGAGAAAGTTGCCCAAATTTCTTTTCTTTTTCTTCAAAAGCAGAGAGAGATATTTCAGTTTACCAACGCCACACGCTTGCAGGGAGAGACAACAATGGCAGTCTCAATACCCATAGTCGCCATCGTCACCTCCCTCCACCTCATCGCCTTCATCTTTGCCGTCGGCGCTGAACGACGCCGTAGCACGGTACCCACCCCCATCTCATTGTGTCTGTCCGTTTTAAGTTTTAATTTTTATATTTAAGTACTTCAAGCCCTAACTGTTACTGTTTGTGTTTGTGTCTCTGAATTAGGCGAAGATAGTGCCCGATGAGTACGACGAGCGTACCTACTGCGTGTACGGCACGGACGCCTCCACGGTGTACGGATTAGCGGCGTGTGGGCTGCTTCTGGTCAGCCAGGCGGTGATTAACGGCGTCACCAGGTGTCTCTGCTGCGGCAAAGGTCTTGTCACTGGCTCCTCCACCACTTGGACCGTCTTCTTCTTCGTCTTCTCCTGGTAATTTTACCCATTTTATCCCCCTCTCCTTAACCATTTTTAATTGGGTCTTACTCTTGGTTTAATTATTTGATCAACGGTCTTAATCGTTCCATATCTTAGAAATAGTCAAGGTAATTGACTTGGTCACTTGTTTAGTATGTTGTTCCTTTGGATGATCTAATTGCTTGCTTGTTGAGTTGTTACACATTGACATTTACTTTTAATTGTTTGTATTTTTCTGGAATCTGATTTGGAGCTAACTAAAGACTTGACGCAAAACCGAGTACCATGACGTTCTAAGATTCATATAGGCAACTTCATTTAGTGAGATAAGGCTTTGTTGTTGCGTTGTTAGTGTACTGTGCTTGATCCATGAGTGAATGTTGTTCTCTACTCTAGTATTGTGTTTGTGTACATGGCAAATCCCATTTGCTTCATTTTGCTAAACCAAAACCTGAAGCTTCTGAACTGTGAATGACTCAGGACAACCTTTTTGGGAGCGGAGGCGTGCTTGTTGGCTGGGTCGGCAAAGAATGCATACCACACCAAGTACCGGGGAATCTTCAATGCAGATGACTTGTCTTGTTCTACTCTGCGCAAAGGGGTGTTTGCCGCCGGTGCTGCTCTTACACTGTTGTCACTGGCAGGGTCAAGTCTTTACTACTGGGCACATTCCAAAGCTGATACTGGGGGATGGGAGAAGCACCGAAATGAAGGCCTTGACATGAGCAGTTCTAACTACGGGCAGCATGAGCAGCAGCAACAACAAGCCAGTGGATTTCAGAAGGTATAATTCCGCTATTAGTTCTGCAGTTTTGGTGGCTTTTGTCGATCGAGGGGAAAGAAATGAATGGAGCAAATATGAAATGAGCTAAAGACTTGTATATGCTATGTCATCTTATGTATGTTAGAAGTGGAAGTAATTCCCCAGTCATATATATTCCCCAACTTTTGCTGGTTGCTTGATTTCCCATATTTCTTGACTTATGTATGTTGTGTTTTGGTATTATACGTTTGACATTGGTTCTCTGGATCAGGCAACAGCACCCAAAAAAAATTTTAGTCGGAGAGGAACTAACTCTAGGGGACTCGTTGTTTTGTTAAGTAATTGTCAAAAATGATGATAAACCAAATTTCAATTGTTAAACTAATCAATAACAAATATCTAACAACATATCGATAAAAAGTGAACGACATAATTATCAGATATCGATTAGATACTTCAAAATTTATCATCTCTCTCTATTGTGATGCATTGCAAAAAGAAAATTGAAAGTTTCAAACTCGAGTACATGAGGATAGGTAGGCTACTAAGAATAATTTGGTTCGAATTTGCCCTTAGTTTGAATTCGCTTTGGGCGAAAATCGAATATAACTTCACCTACAAGTGAAGAGAAATATCATTACACAGCAGTACTAATTGACATCAATGGTGCTATTTAAATACAATAACAACAACAAAATCTTATTCGATTAAGTGGGGTTGGTGATGAATCCTAAAACATCACTGCGCTCAGTTTTGCACCAAATCTTCCGTTAGCTCCAAGTACTGTCCTTTCTTAAAGTCTATTTCCAAGTCTTCCTAGGTTTTCTCTACCTCTTTTGCTCCAAACCTTTTTTGCCTTGAGTCTTTGTCTTATAATCGCATTTTTTAATTGGAGCATCTTAGATCTTCGTTTCACTTGTCCAAAACATCTTAACCGATTTTCTCTCATTTTATCTTTAATTGCAGCCAGTCCCATTTTACTTAAGATATTCTCATTTTTAATCTTGTCTTTTCTTGTGTGCCCACACATTTAACAAAGTATTCTCATTTCCGCTATACTCAATTTTTGCACTGTTGATGCTTTAACACCCAACATTTCATGCCAATAAAGCATTGCCAACTTTATTGTCATCTTATAAAATTTTCCTTTCAACTTTAGTGGCATACAACAGTCGTCATAATGCAATGCTAACCTTATTGCCGACCTATTTAAATGAACTGGATTTTTTACTTTTTTGTCAACAGATCGGCGAACAATCCGAATGTTTTATTTATTTTTAATCAACGGATCCATTAAGTTTCTTTTGTAAGAAAATTAGATCAAGTTTCTTGAGCTCAATGAGCTGGACATTTATGCTGGAGTGAAATGTAACGCTAAAGATGGATTGAACTGTAGGCCTACGTAAAAAAACTTGGTAAAAAGCTTCATTAATATACCTTCAAGTTCAAGGCTTCCTCACAAACAACTTTGAAATTCATGATAAATCCATCTCCCACAAGCACAAAATACACCACTACTATTGGTTATTAGCGGCTGATAATTAAGACGATAAATTAGAAAGTGGTAGCTGAGATTGAAGGCTAATCAAGCTTAGCATGTGGGGAATGGGGAACCACAAGTGTCGGCGACCTTCTTGGCGTTTGGGGAGTTGACAAGCTTCTGGAGGTTGGGGTTCTTCACATACTGGCAGAGGCAAGGGCTCTGCTCCTTGAGTTTTCCGCAACACACGGCGGTGGGAGAGTTCGAAGACATGATCGCGGCAGCGCATGGGGCTAGCTCCATTGGGTTACAAGTCACGGCTGCCTCGCCCACCTGGGTTTCCCTGACCACAACAAGAAAAACTACAAGACACAATATTCCAACGTTGTAGTAAGACATTGATCTCATCATCTTCAAGCTTAAGTTGAAGCAATGTATGTTGCCTACTGTATAAACGCTGGTGCAGCTCTAGTTCCATCTCTTGCCAATTTATAGAAGAGTGGCCAGGGATAGTGATTAGTACAATTAGTTGGAGATCTTCAAAAACGTTATCATAGACTAGTAGTAGTACACTACTCTTCTCCTTATAATTTTATACGTGAAAAAGTGCATAATGACTTGCGACTTATTTATATAACTCACATTTAGAGCAACTTTAGCATGGGAGCCCTTCCCGAGGCTATTCAGTATTCAATCCATTCAGTGAACAGTAACCGCCCTTAATGAACAGTAACTGTCTTTTATATCTCCACCGTTACACTTGAATAGCCTTGGCAATAGGCAATAAAATATTAGTTTTTTTAAAATAATACAAAATAAATTTATTCAACTAATTAATCTCTACCATTGGATTTTAAAAAAATTAAATTCTAACATTCCAGATTGTGCCACGTGGCACAACAGTAACTTTTCTTAATTTTAAAACTATTTTTTCTTTTTATTTCTTTATAAAGGAGAATAATATCAATCGTTGATCTTAGATCCAACGGTTGATATTAAATAAGATTTTTTTTATTTTTTTTACCGTTGCAAATCGGATGGTCCACATTATCTAGTCGTTGAGATCCAACGGACCATGGAAAGCCACGTGGCTTCCCAACGGTAACTTTTTGAAAATGCGACGCGGGCCCTAGTTGCTGAAAAGGTGTTGGGTGACATGCCCCCACACGCGGGCTAGGTGCACGCGCTTGACAAAAATAAAATAAAAAAATGGGCTAACGCCTGGATGACGTCAGCCCTACGTCAGATCCACTTCGGGCTCGTGGGCTGGCAATTCCTCATAGGCCTAGTGCTCGGACCTGCATTGTCCCTCGGGCTCCCCACGCTGGAGTGTTTCATCCGAGCTCTCAGGCCCTGTTTGGTCCACTGTCCTCCCGAACAAACTCTCACAGTGAAGTTGCTCTTACAATATTATGTTATTTACACATACAAAACTAACACTTCATATTACAGATCAAATCCACAAACAAAATGTACAACATATATTTTAGTTTTATATGTCAATATAAAGTTATACTACATTTTACTTCGATCACGATGGATCTCCCCTAATTTTTTTTTTAAAGCGAAATTCCCTACTTTTACTTTTACACACGCGTTGTAATGATGATTAGCCCAACACCGAAAAATCGTACATGTAAAATCTGTTCAACAGAGGTACTAATTTCATTTGGTCAATGGTCAAAGGATTTTTGGATCCAAAATGATGTCAAGATTATATGAGTTTATGCATGCCTTATGCAGTTAGGTTTTTCAGTATACTCAAAACACGGATAAATACATTATATGTTATTATATAAAGGGAAAGACTTATGAAAAAAGAAAGAAAACATTCTCATTATTTATTAATAACATATGGCGTACTGCTCCGTGTTCCATAAATATTGAAAAATCTCTCTATATGAGCACTAATGATGATAGTTGGAGCATGCTTATCGGTGATCAACGTGTTCATATCCTCTGCACCCTTTATAATTATAACCAATGTGGTCCAGTCCAATCACATAACCCACAAGTAAATTACGATTAATTTTCTCATCTGTTTTCACTTTTGTAAAATAAATTGGTATTATAAAAAGATCATCACGTACTTTAATTTAATTTTATACAAAATAATTGCTGGGTGACATGACATCTTTAAAGTTAAAGTGCTAGAAATATGATGTTTTTTTTCCCCCTCTTGAAATCGAAAAATTGGACCAACAAAAATAACTAAGTCCAAAGATTGGGCCTCTATCGTTGGAAAAGAAAGGTCCAAACAAATGGCAAGGCCCAGTTAAGTTGAGTCCATAGCCGCACCCTTTCGTTTTTTCCTGAATGGTTTCATAGTTTCTGTGACCAAACAAGAGTTTCATAGTTTTTCTTCTTAAGAAAATGAAATGCTATTAGAATTTAACCCTAAAAACCAGTCATCTCATTCCTCGCTTCACTGTTTTTAACTTTTTTCACGTAACTGGTAAACGCAAGATGACTATTTTAAAGTGCTAATAAATTGAATTATTGCAAATAAATTACGGTAGGAATACCTTGATCCATATTAATGTTCAACTTTTTAATTAAAAAAACTGTGACATACAAAATCATTAATCGACATTTAACAATCCTTGCACGTAAACGTAAGATTTGGTGCCTGCATTAAGATTTTTATTAATACATAGAAGCATTAATTTGAAATAGGCATGCGAGGAAGAACCAATCTTCTGAGCCATGCCAATTGCACATTCCTTAATTTCTTCCTTTTTATAAATAAGCTTATAGATGTAGGCCTAGCAGAAAATTGTAGTAATTAACATTGTCACATTGAACACAACCATGTCTCATATTCTTGGAGGAGGAAAAGGTAAACTTCTGTAATTTCATTTGCAACGTAACAATTTAAGATCTGTTTGATAACTATTTCGTTACTTGAATTGATTTTTGCAGTGGCCAACATATTATTATGGAAGAACAAGATAATATCTGCTTTAATCTTAAGCGCGCTTACAGGCATATGGATTTTTTTAGAAGTACTAGAATACCAGTTTCTCACTATTCTTTGTAACACCCTCACGATCACCATGCTTGGTATTTTCTTCTTGCAGCAAGGAGGAGCGAGACTAATCGCTCGGTAATCTGTTTTTAATAATATAATCTGTCCACTTAATTAACATCAGTATCTATTCCGTTTTCTGGTTCTTAGTTTCTGTTTGTATAACGTTATTCATCGTAATTCCTTGTTAGGTTTGGTTTTGTTCCACCTGATTTGGATGACATTAAACTCTCATCGGAATCGACTTGTAGATACTTGTTCGAAACATTTAACCTGTTCTTGCTCAACGTTTTGGAAATTTCATCTGGAAAAGACTTGAAACTCCTATTTTTGGTACGTAATCTTACTTGATTTCGACATTTTACGTACCCTGACCAGTGACCTTTCTCTAAGGGTTTTGACATTGTTAAGTGTTCAATATACATGCAGGCAATGGCTTGTCTATGGATATTGTCGGTTATCGGATATCATATCAGCCTTCTGAACCTTTTATATACGAGTGAGATCTCCGACCAGACCAACACAAATACAATACACACAAAACATTATTGCAAATCGATAGTTTTAAAGTTTGATTAATAATCTTGTTTGAGACTAATTGATAGTTTTCTGTGGTATCGGTATGAAGTCATTGTGTTTGTAGGAGCAGTGCCAGCTTTGTATGAGCGATATGGTGCTCAACTGGATACATTAGCTGCCAAACGCATCCAAGATGTGAAGGACTTGTACCAATTGATTCTTAACAAGATTCCGAGGCGAGAAGCGAGAGAAGAATAAGTTAGATATAGTAGTTCGTCAAATCATAAAACCATTAGTACCTAATTAAATTTGATTCAGAGTCAATAATCTCGAACAAATTTTTATAAGTACTTTGGCATGGAACATCATCAGTACTCTAGCAACTATAACTATATATATATATATGTTTTAGTACCATATATTCTAGAGAAAGGATAAATGCCCAAGAGCTGTTAAAACTAAAGAACCGAAGACTGATACGGGCGGATCAAGGCGCTTAAACAGGAAGGAAATTAGTATGGAAATAAGAGATTAAAACTTACGGAACGAAAAAAAATGGAACCCTTGTTAACCCCGCTTCATTTTAGTGACTGTCTGCTACTTTGTTGTCACTAATTTGATGTGGGTGTCACCACATGACTAGCCATCACCTTAGATTTCTACAAAGATTGAAAAGTACTCTCTTGTAATGAAAAGCGAAATTAACGATGGAACAAGACAAAGTGCAAACAACTTTCAACATAATGAAACAGAGAATAAAGGGACAGAAAATGCACCTGGTTTATAAATGGCACTTTCTCATTGTCACTAGCTGTGTTTGGTGAACTAGACTCTCCAGCTTGGTTAGCATAGTTGAATATGCGGGAGAAATTTGTAGGAAATCGTGGCTGAACCATATTTGATGTAGCCGCGGTTGTGCTAGGCATTACTTGCGAAGCAAGGAATGGAAATTGCATTTGCACTTGAGGATTAACGGGTAGACCTCCCGGTCCAGACATCAGTGGCAACCCTGCAGTTGCTGAGTGAACTGACATTGTTGGAACGCCTGTTGTATAACACATATTAATCATTCCCATTGCCATTCCCAATCCCATCCCAATTTCATACGCATTGCTCGTTCCCAGTCCGGGTCCCATGGGCAAATACGGCTTAAATTGGGACATTTGCGTGCCTTGAATCCCAGCCAATGATAAATTTGGAGTCTGGTACACAGCTCCTCCACCCATGGACATCATCTGATGTTTATAACAACATTTTTATTAAGGCAATTAGAAGTTTAATTGAAAAGAAAGAGGCAGAGAAATGTCAGGACATACTTGTACTTGAAGCTGCAAGGATTTGATATATTTAATCGCATCGTCCAGCATTGAAGCTCGGTCTGTCTAAAATTGGAAAAGCAGTATCGTTGATTCAGTAGTCTTAAAAGTTTTAAATAAATAATTCAAGGCACATATGAACAAAGGAAAATAATATACAAGAAGATTATCAATCAGTCTCAGCTAGCTTGTTCATCTTAATCAGCACCCTACATAGTCAACAGATTCAACAGCTTATAATGTTAGAGATGAAAACACGAGTCAGCAATCTGCTCGGTCTATTTAGATTAGATTAATTGGGTGTGATTAATTAGTTGTTTAATTATGTTTAGTTACCCATCTAAGCCGGATTCTTGAAGATCATGGCATACTAAAAATACTTTGCTAGCTTAAGCATTTGGAGCTCTTTGGCCATACAAAATTTGGTTTAAAAAATTTAGTCTCACTACTTACCCTAATTGATACCTGTTGAACTTATGATTAATGGAAAGCGAATCTGAGACTTCCACGAAATTTGATATAATTAACCATTCTTTTTTAATTCCGAATTTTTTAATTAAAAGATAATGCTAGGTAGACTAAATTGTTAAATCAAATAATGTATTTGTTGATGATTGAATTATTACTTTTAATTACGGCTGATTAAATTGTTTATTTTCTATTCATAATAGATTTGCAAATTTAATTTAGAAATTTAATCTATCTAACATTATTCTTACCTAAATTAATTTAATCGATGAATAAACAAAAATACTACTAAATAGTTGTTACCAAAGAAAAAAAACTAAATCGTAGTACTAACAGAGTTGCCAATTGGCAATATAAGGAGTATCTCAACCTCTTATAAGTTCATACAAGATCCCTCCTCCCATCAATGTGAGACTCATTCTCAACACGCCCCCTCACCTGTTGTGAGATTCATTCTCAACCCGCCCCCTCATGTGTGGCGAATTTTCAAGCCTAACACGTGGTCAACACAACGGGGTGACGTGGAGCACATGTGGCCGTTTGGCTTCACACGTGGGACAACTGCTCTTATAGCATGAAGAAAGTTGAGGTTCCACTATAAAACCAATTGGCAATATAACCAATTGGCAATATAAGAAGTAACTCAACTTCTTATAAACTCATGCAAGATCTCTTCTCCTATGTGTGACTTATTCTCAACAAAGTCATGACAACAAATTACAGTGGGGTGGCACCCAGTGGCGAAGCCAAGATTTCCCGAGGGGAAGGGCGAAATTCAAAAGAGTGCAATGTTCATCGAAACGGTTGCCTTCACATTAGAGAGTACAAAGTTTTGAGTCAATATTCATAACATAAAAGAGTCTCTTTACCAAAAGTGTTGTAAGTGGTAATATCAAAGTCATGTAAGAAGCTTAAATTGATTAGAATTAGATTCTAAAAAACGTTAGGCGCTAATCAGGCAGCGGACTAGGGCCTAGCAGCTAGGCGTCTAGGCGAGATTTAGGTAGGAGCCTAGATGAATTTAAATAAATTTCTTTTATCGTAAAATAAGCATTAAACAATATTTACATTATTTCTTAAAAAATTAATACAATATTAATATATAATCTGAGAGTTTAAGATAAATACGTTGGGGTCTTAAAAAGAGGGAAAAAAATACATACAAGAATAATTATAAAAAAGAAAAGAAAAAAAAGAGCGAAATGGGTTAACAAATCACAAAAAAAAAGGTGGGGTCAAAAGAAAAAAAAAAGAACAGTACTTGAATACTGACTAATCAGTAGTCAATTTACTCACTATAATAGGTGGCCTAATAACATTATAACACCTGTCTATTTAATATTTTCCCAGGATAATACTTGGGTAATCAACAGTGAGTACCCAATTTCACTGACTTTTATCAGATGTTCATGGACATTCACCAAAGTTCGGGAGCTCAGCTGATCCCCTTGCCCCTCAATGCATCCGCCACTGACAACACATTATTGGATCAGTGCTCCCTAGAGCGTTGAGCATGTTCCATGTAAGTCTTTACCCCTTTTTGGATTGTCACATGGCATGGTGGGGCCTCTCTCTTCGTCATTTTCTTTTCTTTCTTCCTCTTGAGTGGTTCTATGGACTCCCCACAATTTGTTGAACACAACTTTTAACTAAAAAACACCATCCACATGCTTGTTGGTTAAGAAATATCCTAGAACTAACTTACCCAAACTACCCTCATACCCTCCCCTCCCACAGAATTGCAAAAGTGTTGTTGCACATGCCCATAGCTTCCACTTTATTACCAAAAAGAGTAGTTAAACGTAAATTAACACAGCAAGTACAACCTCAGATGCATAACTCAAACAAAATTCATACTGCTACTTCCAGCTTTTCTGCACATTTTCTAACAGAGTAACGGAGATTAATGAAAAGACATTAGAACAACGTAACGTAACCCCGTTTTGGGTAATATTTTTACAAATGAATCATCACATTCTGTACAAACTATTTAGCAACGGTTCGATGATGCTTTTCTTCGCCTTGAAATTATTTGCTAAACCTTCTGAACTCATATCCCTGATCAAGTCCAAGTAGCTCGTTCCCCGGCCAAGTCCCCCTACAATGTGAAAGCACATAAAAACATCATGTTTGCGTAGTTGGCTAAGCTTAATATCTAGCCTTGCATCGATGAACATAATACGATTTTCCTTGCATCTGTCATCAGAGTTTGATCAATTAAGATTGATCATACTATTTCAGATCTACAAAAGTTTAAATATCATTCTATTTTTCTACAATAACAAGATCATATTGTTAAACACGTCTGTTACCAGCTACTCCGTTCAAAAATGAAGATCGTAAACACATGAACCCACCCACGTATATATGAATAGTATGCAGGTATGTGTGCTTGCAGGAAACTTCTGTTTAAGTACATAAACATAACATTCACAGTTCGTGTTTGAAGCAGATCCGGATGAGTTTTTTGCCTCGACTGCCAAGGAAGAATAAAAAAAATTCAGTGAACAATTAAAAGAGAGAGGGACTTACATGAGGCTCCATGAAAAGCAGCCTTAAGACTATTGGACTACTGAACCTGTAAAACAGAAAAAACAATGCACAGAACGGAACAATCTTGACTGTAAATTCAGGAATACTTCCAAGCTTACATGGAATGGGTTAACTGTCACCGTGACATCTAAATCCAATAATGTTTTGACATGTGAAGAAAAACTTACACATGACACTATGTTGTTGGACCAGTGCGCCACGGGGCGTTGAATCTGTTCCATGTATATCTTTATTGTTGTACATGCCCATAGCTTCCACTTTATTAATGAAAAAAGTAGTTAAACGTAAACTAACACAGCAAGTATTATAGTATTATAGTAAGAGATTGAGTACAAAAAATTACAGTAAGAAAATTGCATTGCAGGCCAAAAACAGAAAGTCCCTCATCTAATATAGACAAGTTGTTGCTAAGGTGTCAAGACTAAAAATTTAAAGAGAGAAAAACATACAGTCGAGCAAAAGCCATAGAAGCAGTGGCAAGAAACATCATAATTGTCCTCATCACCAGAAAAACTAACAACACATTCACAAAAAAGCGAAGAAGAACGGCAAGCATGACATGAAAACTAAACACGCCATTCTGACATCAAAATGCAAGTGTAATAAATAGAACACGCACACACTCACACGACCACACATACAGAGGGAGTAATTCAAAGGAACAGAAAGTATCAATTTGATTTTCAAATAAAAAGAGATTTGAGTATGGTAATTGAAATCATCACAAACCTTGATACCTTCCGGCAGTAGAAATAAACAGAAAGTAAGAAAGTTGGGCAGAAGAGAATTGTATTATAAGCTTTCAGTGCATTAAAATTGGCACTGATCCTAGAAACACATACATACACAGTGGAAACTGATCATCCAAGGGGTCACTAGCTTCACCGTTCAACCACGTCCCAGAAAAACTAGAATTTACATAAGGACATGTGTCCTTCGGTACATGAATGGGAGAACACAGTAGACCCGTTGGCTGCAAAATGAAGAGGCATGCAATGGATCAGTAAGGCAGAGAAGGAAGCCAAGGAAAACACCTACACCAAATTTCTCAATTAACTAAAGAACCAAACAAAATAAAATATATACTAAGAAAGACGATTAAAGTTTCTCCTGATAAAAAACTGTGCTTCTGACGCTGTGGAAATTAGACAGCTGCCGTCCCTTCTACATCTCCTCTATTGATCATTCACAGAATCGCTCATCCACAAGCAGTCCGTCCAGTATCTGATTCCATCCGACGGTTGGCTGCATTCGTCAATTTGAGGATGTTCTTGTGGTGATTCACCTTCAACCGTTCCCAACCATTGGTCAAAGCCTAGAAGAAATTCTTCAGCATGTAAAAGAATTTCTTCATCGCTAGTAGTAGCACCATATTCACCACCCAAGCATATTGGATCAGAATAAACATCACTCATCAGCGGCACATAATCGTGAACAGAAAAATCGGTCATCTTCACATTGCCGTGAATGTTGCTTATGCACTCCTGATCATCATTGGCAGTCTCACTAATCATCCTATTTCCTTCATCAGGACTACTGCTTGTACTAGGGCAGTCTTGTAGTTCACCAATGGCGACCACACTCGCACTAGTATTTGTTTGCGATCCCACTTCTTTTTTTTTCTTCTTAACTGACGGCTTCTCATTCAATTCCTCTGTTCTTGCTCTCTTTCTCTTAACCGGCGGCTTCTCATTCAATACTTGTTTTCCTGCCCTCTTTACTGGTGGCTTCTCATTGAATTCAGGAGTTGGAACCGAGGAATCCATCCTGTTTCCACACCTAGACCTCGGATTCCTTTTAAGTCGAGAAAGAACCACCTTTGCGCCAGCAACTGCGCTAGGAANAGCTTGGTTAGCATAGTTGAATATGCGGGAGAAATTTGTAGGAAATCGTGGCTGAACCATATTTGATGTAGCCGCGGTTGTGCTAGGCATTACTTGCGAAGCAAGGAATGGAAATTGCATTTGCACTTGAGGATTAACGGGTAGACCTCCCGGTCCAGACATCAGTGGCAACCCTGCAGTTGCTGAGTGAACTGACATTGTTGGAACGCCTGTTGTATAACACATATTAATCATTCCCATTGCCATTCCCAATCCCATCCCAATTTCATACGCATTGCTCGTTCCCAGTCCGGGTCCCATGGGCAAATACGGCTTAAATTGGGACATTTGCGTGCCTTGAATCCCAGCCAATGATAAATTTGGAGTCTGGTACACAGCTCCTCCACCCATGGACATCATCTGATGTTTATAACAACATTTTTATTAAGGCAATTAGAAGTTTAATTGAAAAGAAAGAGGCAGAGAAATGTCAGGACATACTTGTACTTGAAGCTGCAAGGATTTGATATATTTAATCGCATCGTCCAGCATTGAAGCTCGGTCTGTCTAAAATTGGAAAAGCAGTATCGTTGATTCAGTAGTCTTAAAAGTTTTAAATAAATAATTCAAGGCACATATGAACAAAGGAAAATAATATACAAGAAGATTATCAATCAGTCTCAGCTAGCTTGTTCATCTTAATCAGCACCCTACATAGTCAACAGATTCAACAGCTTATAATGTTAGAGATGAAACACGAGTCAGCAATCTGCTCGGTCTATTTAGATTAGATTAATTGGGTGTGATTAATTAGTTGTTTAATTATGTTTAGTTACCCATCTAAGCCGGATTCTTGAAGATCATGGCATACTAAAAATACTTTGCTAGCTTAAGCATTTGGAGCTCTTTGGCCATACAAAATTTGGTTTAAAAATTTAGTCTCACTACTTACCCTAATTGATACCTGTTGAACTTATGATTAATGGAAAGCGAATCTGAGACTTCCACGAAATTTGATATAATTAACCATTCTTTTTTAATTCCGAATTTTTTAATTAAAAGATAATGCTAGGTAGACTAAATTGTTAAATCAAATAATGTATTTGTTGATGATTGAATTATTACTTTTAATTACGGCTGATTAAATTGTTTATTTTCTATTCATAATAGATTTGCAAATTTAATTTAGAAATTTAATCTATCTAACATTATTCTTACCTAAATTAATTTAATCGATGAATAAACAAAAATACTACTAAATAGTTGTTACCAAAGAAAAAAAACTAAATCGTAGTACTAACAGAGTTGCCAATTGGCAATATAAGGAGTATCTCAACCTCTTATAAGTTCATACAAGATCCCTCCTCCCATCAATGTGAGACTCATTTCTCAACACGCCCCCTCACCTGTTGTGAGATTCATTCTCAACCCGCCCCCTCATGTGTGGCGAATTTTCAAGCCTAACACGTGGTCAACACAACGGGGTGACGTGGAGCACATGTGGCCGTTTGGCTTCACACGTGGGACAACTGCTCTTATAGCATGAAGAAAGTTGAGGTTCCACTATAAAACCAATTGGCAATATAACCAATTGGCAATATAAGAAGTAACTCAACTTCTTATAAACTCATGCAAGATCTCTTCTCCTATGTGTGACTTATTCTCAACAAAGTCATGACAACAAATTACAGTGGGGTGGCACCCAGTGGCGAAGCCAAGATTTCCCGAGGGGAAGGGCGAAATTCAAAAGAGTGCAATGTTCATCGAAACGGTTGCCTTCACATTAGAGAGTACAAAGTTTTGAGTCAATATTCATAACATAAAAGAGTCTCTTTACCAAAAGTGTTGTAAGTGGTAATATCAAAGTCATGTAAGAAGCTTAAATTGATTAGAATTAGATTCTAAAAAACGTTAGGCGCTAATCAGGCACTAGGGCCTAGCAGCTAGGCGTCTAGGCGAGATTTAGGTAGGAGCCTAGATGAATTTAAATAAATTTCTTTTATCGTAAAATAAGCATTAAACAATATTTACATTATTTCTTAAAAAATTAATACAATATTAATATATAATCTGAGAGTTTAAGATAAATACGTTGGGGTCTTAAAAAGAGGGAAAAAAATACATACAAGAATAATTATAAAAAAGAAAAGAAAAAAAGAGCGAAATGGGTTAACAAATCACAAAAAAAAAGGTGGGGTCAAAAGAAAAAAAAAAGAACAGTACTTGAATACTGACTAATCAGTAGTCAATTTACTCACTATAATAGGTGGCCTAATAACATTATAACACCTGTCTATTTAATATTTTCCCAGGATAATACTTGGGTAATCAACAGTGAGTACCCAATTTCACTGACTTCTTATGTGGAGAAACCATTTTACAACACCTGTCCTTTAAACTTTAAAGTTTCTCCAAGCACTCTGCTATTCTTTGTAACCAAACAATCGACTCTTCTTTTAAACATGTGACCAAACACACTCGGTCTTCCTTCTCCAACTCCAACAAGTCTGTTAAATACTTCCACCCCAGGGCTTATTCTTTAGCCCCAAACCTCTCTTCTCCAGAGACCCACCTCCAGTCCTTCTCTTCTTCGGGCGACCTCACCCTGAAATCCTTCTCTTCTCCGTAGACCCGCTTCTAGTCCTCTTTTCTCTGGAGATTCACCTCCAGTCCTTCTCTTCCCCATTTATTTTTTTCAAAATCATTAACTGTAAAGATTATTAATCAAAAAAGCCAAAGATCAATTTTTGAAATCATCAAAATCCAATCTTCATAATCACTGTATTCATTGTCTTGGAGGAAAGGATTGGGATGAGGTCGACGGAGAAAAGAGGGATTCAGCATGAGGTCGTTCTGGGAAGAGAGAGATTGGGATGAGGCCGACGGAGGAGATAGATTGATGGGAAAATCTGGGTTGGATTTGACGTTGCGGGAGGTAGGAAGAAGGAATGGGTATGTGATTGACGGAGCAAAGAAGGTTGAATGGGGGACACGTTACCCCCCCCCCCGGCACCATATATATATTTTTTCAAAACAGATGAAACGACGCCGTTTGGTGTCAGTTTTTAAATTTTTTTTTACCAGGACCAAAACGACGTCGTTTTGGCCTGGATTTAAAAAAAGAAAAGAAAAAAGAATCCAGTTGCAGAGAACCAGTTCATCCGAAGAACAGAACAGACGGAGCGGAGCTGCGGAGCGGAGGGGCTGGGTTTCCGGGAGGGGAGAGGCTGAACCTGCGCTGGGGCTGTGTTTTCCGGCGAGGGGAGTGGCGGCTGCCACTCCTCGCCCTCACGTGGCTTCGCCACTGGTGGCACCTATGTCAGAAGTCGGATAAGTAAAGTTATATATACAAACAAATAGTTTTGTGGGTACCATCTCTTTATCGATCGAAGCTAATTTAACATCAATATAAATTAAGCGGCAAGGGGAAGAAAGAAGCCATTATATATACATATATACACACCTTGTTACAGTTGGGTATAAGCTCCTGTAGCACCTTCAGCTTCCCCCGGATTTTGTTCCTACGCATCTACTCATGAAAACAAGCAAGTGTAATTAATTAAGTTAGTTTGATTAGTAAAATAAAGTATATAAGTTGGCAAGGAAATACGATAAGCTGAGTGGGTGGTTGGCCCACCCTCTCAGACATATTATGCAGTTCAGTAGCACGACTTCTTTTGGGCCGTTCGTCTTTGCTTTGCTTAAATTCTCCAGAAAGCATTACAGGTTTAGTTTCCTAATTAAACAAAAATAATTAATTAAGCAAATTAACAAGAAATACAAGAACATTAGTTATAACTAGCTAGTTAAGTTAAATATGTACGGACCATCTCATGGGACGTCGTCGTCTTTCCACTGAATTCTCCTTTTTCCAAGCTTAACCCACACAACATAACCTCTTTATCGTGCGAGAAAATATTGGGTGTGGGCTGCTGCATTTGTAAGAATGGATCAAGCTGAATATACGACAAATTCTGAAATATTTCTTGAAAATGTTTATGGTCATCTCCTCCAGCTGCCGCAGCTGCACTAATGCTGCTACTAGTATTGTTCCAATGAGAATTATCAGTTGGAGGGTCAAGGACAACCGAATCAATAGGAAGCACACCGTAATTTTCATACGGAAAACCTTGAGAGTATTCACCGTCATATGTGGTGGTGGTGGTGGTGGACGACTTGGCGATGGTAGTTTTCCAGTCGGGCAATTGGTTGCGCATGTTAACCATAATGTGTAAACGCCACTTGACTTTAGCAGCTCAGGCCACAAACAAACAAATAAAAGCAACTCAAAGAGGTGCACCGCTATGTGTGTACATATTATTTACAAATAGAGAGAGAGAGAGAGAGAGAGAGAGAGAGAGAGAGAGAGAGAGAGAGATGGATCCAAAGGGGTTTGGCAGAGAAACTGATAGAGAACTTTCAAAGGGGTTTTGCACTAATGCCTCTTCATCGCAGTCTAAAAAATATTGTGTGATTGCGTTACATGCGCATGCGCGAAATTTTGGCGCGTTGTGGTTGTACATGCGTAATATCAGTTGTTGATTTTCGGGTAATCAGTAACATGATGATGACTTTGTCTGTTTGCCCGTATAAATCCATAGCAGCTTAGCCCATAGTCTTCAGTGTATCTCCTGAATCCTTGATCAGCACTGCTGTTCTGTAGTGTGGGCTACATGTCGGACGCTGGATGGCACACGTCTACACAAATGACTCGTGTCTACTAGGGGAGCTTCATCCCCACCAACTTGACTGTTTTTTTCATTTGTTTTGTCTCTCAACTTACTTACTCCAACGTTATTTTAAGGGAACAACCTGAAGCCGAGTATTTTAGTATGCTCGAAATATAAATATATACATCATATATTATTACATAAATAAGAATATATTGAAAAATCTCTTCTCGTCAAGATAATTAATGCATGTTTGCTTGCACCCTAAGAGATTATTGAATGGCAATGCTAGTTAGATTGTATACACTTATGAGTTTATCTACCTTTTACGTGTTTATCTCTTCATCACGTAATAAACAAAATTGTAATAGCATGCAGCTGGGTGAATTACGTTCTCAGAGGCTACTCAAGATAGAACTTGTAGATACATGTATGTTCATCGAGATTTATGAGACTTAATTTTGGGTAGAATTACTCATTTTAGTTTGTGTTAAATCATGTAGGATGAGTTTCTAATTGAATTCGGCACAGCTGTACGTCGTGAACAAGAAATATATATCGATCTTATGTTCTTATATGGATTTATATATACAACTATTTATGCTATATACCCTCCATGCTAGGGTTTTGAGTTTCAGATTAATTGCACGTTCATCTATTGGTTAAATAAAAGGAAATAGGACAGGAAAAGAAAAATATCTGTTGGTCGCTGCCTCAATAATATAACCCTAGTTCCAATGTTCTGACCAAGTTTGTTTCTATGCTGGAAACGATCTTCACGGCTCATTTAGTGGACAGGACATGAAGGTTATTGTTTTTGAATTGTTAGAGTAGAATTTGAAGGTTTTTTTTTATTTTCTTTTTATTTTCTTTTTATCGAAAGAATTTGAAGGTTAAGGTTGAGATACATGTCTAGTGTCTGGTATAAACAAGTCAATTAGATAGGTTGGAATATGAAAAACATTTAAAGAAAATCTTCCAACCGCAACAACAAAGTCTGTGTCATTAAGCGGCATCGACTATATGAATTCTAGCAACCTTCTCTCTACCAACAAGCATAATCTTCAACTAGACTGCAACAACGAACGCGATCTAGCAAAGATCAAACATCAACTTGCAACATCGCTACCCACAACGAAAATCAAGCATCAATCCATGTCGAGGAAGATGAGAAGAAGATGATGCAGTGAGGAGAAGGCATCAGAACGGAGGCGCGAGCGCGATTTGCTTCTGGACTTGTAATCCAAACCCCTGTTATCCTAGATTTATCTCATCCGTGATATTGTATAGACGCATTAAACAATGGTTGGTACTCAAATATAATTTACTTGATCACACCCCATCCAACTAGCCCACTAAACAGAACCTCTTATAAAAAGCTTGGGATTTGCAGTTTGGAATCACAGCATTCAAATAGTTGATTTGGTTAACGAAATGGAGGTGAGGACTAAACTATTTTTGTCACTAACTTACATTATTTTTTAGAAATTAGGACAAAACAAGACGCGAGTCATATATATGAATATGTTCTTACCGGTAAGAACACGTTCATTAGTAAAACTGAAAATTTACATGTGTTCTTACTAGTAAGAACACGTTCATATATAATTGCCTACTATGTTGTAGTAATTTTTCAAAAAATAATCTAAGGCTCCGGGGTCTACTATTTCTTATATCTTTTTTCCTTTTACATGCATTTTGCCAACACTTTACCTACTATATATTTCGGAATAATTTAGAAGCAAGGCTAGTGTCGGCGCTAATAGCAATGTTTTGGCGTGCCATAATGTGAAGGTTAGCGTGTCAAAGTGTTAGAAAAATGCATGGCATGACACACTAACCCGCACTTCATGGCACGCCAAAACATTATTATTGGCCCCAACATGTCCTGAAATATTTTTGAGTTGTTTATCATGTAGGCCTTGGTACCATAAATTATATTTTGATCAACATTCAGCTGCACCGTGTCAACTTGGCCGAGAGAGGATGAGACTGAGAGCACCACCACCTCCCTCCTTTCTCTAACTCTTTTCTTCTCTTTGTCATGGTCTATCTTCTCTTTGCTTCTTTTGGGTCTCTTTGCGCTTTGGGCTTCGACGGCCCTATATTAATTCTTTTCTGACCCAAACAAGAAAACCCATTTTCCTCCCCAACTCACCGTAACACCTTCCACGTTGTGCTTTCGTTCAGCGTTCCAGTTTATCTCCTATCTCGTCCAATTGGTTGAAAAAATCGAAGTTGTAGAACTAGACAATATATGTGCAGAAAGTTAAAGTTTCGCCCGAAAATCAGTTAGTAATATAAAAAATAACTTAACTACATATAAGTACATGCAAAATTCCTCATTTTCTCGAGAAAAAAGAAGAAGGAATGGCATATTTAATATCGAACGTGGACGCATTATCCTTGGGGATTTATAATATTATCCATACTACATAAAAAAAGAGAGAATAAAAAGACTAAGTAGAAATGACGCAGAATCGAAGACCTGGCATTGTCAATGTCAACACCTTGATGATGCTGATACAGTCATTGCCGTAATACGGATCCTTAGCTATATATATCTTATATGAAACAAAGGAGACTGCACCCAAGTCTTCCTTTCTCTAGGTCTTCACTTTCTAGATCACTTATTCTCACCTTTTTAAACAAAGCCGGCATCGCTGAATTGGACCAGTGACAAGAATAATGTGTCCATCTATGATCTCTCTGCATCCGCTCTCTTTCAAACTATGCGGTCCATAATTTCAGTAAACTTCAGATGATTCGTTTACACTTTGGGCTGACCAAATTTTTAGTTTATCCATTTTAATGTGTCTGTATACATACACACGCACACCCGTCCAACGCGGAGAAGTGTGATTGGCCAATGGGCACCAATCACAATATATAAGAGCAACTGGAAAGATATAAAACACGTCCTTTGGATAAAATTAGACTACTAGTATGTTGGTCAGCTTATCAGAAAGCCTTATCAGCCATTTCTAAGGGAGAAGGTAGGAGCTTGCAGTTTATCAGTTCATATGGTGAGGGACTGGAAAGAGCTAGGAAGTGGAGGTGGAGGGACTGGTTTAAGCGGCGGGAGTGCATCAGTTTTCGTGATGTTGTGGGCAGCTCTGGCCACCTTTGTTGTTATCTCAGCCATCATCTTCTCCTGTGCAGATGGCGTTCCCAAAGACAAAGCCTCCACCAACGGTCACGATACTTACGGTTCTACTTGCGCCGCTGCAGGCTGTGGAGCTGGCTGCGGTGCTTGATCAGCAACCGCCACCCGGCGCGCGACTGAAACTCAGCTTCCAAGAACCACGCTTGTGGCTGGTGAGATAGCAGCAGAATACAACTTTGAAAAAAACAAATTGGCCGGGGAATAGGAAACTGTAAATTTTGGCTCTTTAGCCAAAATAGTTAATGAGATTGTTGTAACTTCTTATTTTGGTCTCTGAGATTCAAAATCGATAGAAGTTGACTCTTAGATTGTCCATCGTCATTTTGATCATTTTTTGAAAAATCTCCGTTAAATTGAAGAAACCATCAATCCAATAGGAATGTTGGTTTGACAAAACTATCTTCAATTTAACGGAGATTTCTCACAAAAGGCCAAAATGATTAACGGTGGACCAATCTCCAAAACCACTTCTATCGATTTTATATCGCATATACCAAAGTGAGGAGTTATAACAATTTCATGAACAACTTTAGATAAAAAGCGTGTAAATTTTTATTTTTACTATTTATTACTTGATTTTGATTGAAATGTTTATTTCGAAGATAAATGTTACCTGTGTATTACAGCCTTACAAATGGATGTAATTAGGATGATCAATGGATAATGAACGTATTTTTTCCGAATGCAAGTAGTTCTCTTATCTGGCCTTTTTGATTCCAGTGGCTGACATGTTGCCATGAGCTAGCGTTTGGTTAGGCAAAGTCACATGTCTAAAGCATAGCATACATCCATCAAACTCACCGGATGCCTTGAAACAGCGAGAACAAGTTACACGCAAGATGACGACGATGTTATTAACCAATCACACGACGCTATGTTGAAAGGTATAGACACATGACACCACAATAATAGGTTTAAAACAATGTCACTTTTACCGTGTCCCTCCCATGTACAACTTTTACAGGATATGTCCTCTCTTAAACATATGAATACACTCTAGTTCTTGGTATCGCATTTTATTCAGCGAGATATTTACTTTCCAACCTGTTTCCTAATTTCGGTGGATGATAAATCCACGCGGAACTCTGGTATTGAGATGAACATATCTCTTAACTCCTCAGGAATATCAAAATCTTCAAGAACCTGACAAGGTAATTACACAACAGATCGAATAAACAACTTTCGTAAAGAACGGTAAAATGGATGGATGGTCAGTAATGATCGCAAAGCTTACCTTGAAAACACCATGTACATTACGGCCACCCACAAGAAAAGTGGTCCCTGTTTTCTTGCATCCAAGAAGTATCTCCAGCATCTTCTTGTAGTCCCCGTCATAGTACTTCGGCTGTAAAGGAAGAAAATTAGCTCGCAAAAGTGATTAAAGTAGTGATAACTTCCATATGTAACTTCAGCATGCATATCCACCATCAAGATACAAATGTTATAAAACTAACCGCTCCATCTAACTTTTAACTATATGCATTGAAGGAGCATACATTAATCAGCCTCGCTGCTGTGTCCGCACCAATCACAAAAGCACTGCCCGGGAAAAGTTCAGCTTTCTTATAAAAAAATGGCTGATTGGATATAATGACTGTTTTTCCTGTTAGACAAAGATAAAAATTATGACTTCTACATCAAATAAGTAATGACTCATTATCCATGTTATACGCATATATAACGTGAAAAGATTTTCTCCTCAAAAAATTTCACCAACTAATCCCGTATAAAGACTCATTACCCCTCAAAATCCTGGAAAAGGAAAAGGAAGACAAAAAAATGTCATAGATAATCAGCCTTACCAACTTTTTCAAACTGCTTGACACGATCTTTGATTTCTGATACTGAAAGTGGAGGTTTATCAGCATTGACTGCTGAAATCTCAAAGCATGGATAGCCATTGCCGCATAAGCTGCATATAAATGAGTGATTGACGAGTATTATTATACATGCCTTTTCAATTTTAGAAAAGAGAGAGTGCCAGTTAAAGCAAGCTGTTGTACCTAGTAGCAGCCTCCAAGAGCTTCATGTGACCTTCATGTAATGGATCAAAAGAACCAGGCAATATTATCTTCCTTTCTGCAGTCAACATGTGTGGTTCTGCAAAACTCAATGAAAAACAAAGCATTATGCAAACAGCCAAGGAGCACACTGACCTGTATAACTATAGAACACATTGTGCTGAGGTTATGTTAATTAAATCCTACCACTTGAAAATGGATACACCTTAAAGCATATTTGCCCGTTAATAAGTTGCTCCAACTCTTCATCTTCACTAAAATTCATTTCACATTCATCAGGTACTTCAGATTCAGTGAGCTCTGAAACAAATGTCCCGGGAACTTTGCATGAATTTGCAATTGCCTGTAACAAATTAATAGAAAGAAACAGATTTGAAATATGAGTTTAAGCAAGTCACATTTAGCAAAGCTACGAAGCTAATAAAGGTGTGGAATTATGTTGCTAAATTTTCTTTCCCTATATATAAGGTCCCCAGAGTAACTAGTAGAAATTTTCTCAGACCTTGAGTAAAAGATGACTTGCAACCATATCTTCTTCCTCTCGATTTCGTAGACCCTAAAATGACAACAAGCATGACATAAGAAATGGAAAACTTGAAGATCATAATCAAGACAATAATAAATGACAATCACCTTAGAAAGAGTCACTGTTGACACCCAAAGTCTGTCGGATGTCCTTGTTGACAAGTGAAGCCTAAACATCAAGAAGAAAGAATGAAGTAAGCAGGCCTAGGTTGACGAAGCATGAAGAAAACACTAAATAAATAAAGCAAGCCCTTATGGGAGGTGTTATGCGTGTAACATATCTTAAAGTAAAAACCATAAAACCAAACTATAATATGTACAATGGCACAAACGAATTGGATTTTATGAAAATCAACGTGTGTCAAAATGCAGTTTCTTACTTGGATCCTCTGTTTCTGCCATCATTACTCAGTGGCTCTATTTATGCATGCTAGAACATACAACAAGTGCATATCCAACTAGATCAAATAAAATATGCACACATTCAAATTATACCTGTGGTCTCCGAGTTTTGGACGTGAGGTAGCCAAAGTAGCAGTGAAACCTACACCAAGAACCGGGGAACCTATTGCATAGAAAAAAGATGGGGTATAAGAGCCACATTCACATAATACCTAAAACATTATGCATGAGTTCGTCAGCACTTAAGCTACAGATGCCACCTCATTATCCTGTGTTTGGCACTAGAGCAACTAGAAAGTTGAAGCTTTCCATGCTACGCAAAGCTAGTGAACCAACTAATCATATATATGGAATCATGTATAGAGTACAAAGCTTGGAGGAAATGCAACTGCAAGACATAGCTTTAAAACACTATCCGAATCCGAATTCAGAACTCAAGTATGATTCTATACTTATAACCGTATGTATGTATGTATGTATGTATGTATGTATAACCACATAGTGAACCAGTGAGTGTGAAATAGCACTAACCTGGCGATGAGAGCTTGAGAGCGCGATTGTAGGCCAACAAAGCCATTTCTTCAGCAGTGTGTGCACTACAAAACTGGTTCGGAATCTGCAGCAACACAGAAAGCAAACAAATTTCGATCAAATTCCATAAATTGACGAAATAATAAACAATTAAGAGCGAGAAATAGAAGAATTAAAACCTTGCCGAGCAATTGGATCATCGACATTCTGGAGTAGGGCACCACCGCTTCCAGGACCGTGTTCGATGCTCCAGGAATCGACAGCAGCCACGCCACGACCTGATTTACGCTAATCCTGATTAATTAATCATGATAAACTCTCAATCACACACATTAATTTAGCCGTAAATGTTACCTGAGAGGCTCCGCAGACGAGATAGAGGACGGACTGCGTGGGGCTCGAGTGAATGGCTTCCACTAGTGTCCTTGTTCTCGCGCTCATCATACTAGGGCGCGCACTCATGCAGTCTTCCTCCATCGTCGTCTCCTGTCTTCCTCCATCGTCGTCATCCATCGGATTCTCTCTCTCTCTCTCCTTTTCTTCGGTCTTCTTCTGTCCGCAGCCCGAAAACGGTGTCGTTCTCTTCTGTGTAACGAGTTCTGCGGGACCATTCAACTATGGGTCCCGCCACCTGCTCAAATGATCATAATGGGGTCCGGCCCATTCCATTCTGGTACGTTGAGGAGCCCGATACAAAGGCCCATTAAATCTGGGGCCCAATTGAATTAGACTTGTCCAGCCAACATAGTCGTACATTGTAGGGTCTGTCGTTCAAATAATTCCGCGCTGCTTTGCTGATTGATTTGATCGTTCATCGGAATGAGTTGACTAATTTTTTATTTTATTTGATCGTTGATGACAGATTTTCATGCGAGATAGGCGGAGGAGAGGGCAGCTGCTGCCTAATTATGCTCCAAATTTTCTAAGTTTTGACGGTCTCTGCTGCCGCCTAATTATGCTCTCAATTTCAAATAACGTCGGCTTGGCACTCATGACAAAGCACATGAGTTGCTTTCCAATTAAGATACCAATTATAACGAGATGCATGTTGGGTAATTATGCTTGAACCTTTGTAATATGTAAAATTTTTATTATTAATGAGAACTCCTCTACTCACGTGGAGGGTAGCTCAAGTTAGGGTGAACGACCGATATTTTTTGTTTACTTTCATATCTCTATCTTTTTACATATTACCTACACTTGGTGACTAAAGCAACCTTGCGAATATCACACCTTGATACGTTCCAAAGTCAACTTGATTTTATGCATTAACAATGAATATTGTGAAAGACCGTTGTTACTTGCCGAACTCAAGTCGATTCACAAGCACATTTAGGGAGAAAAATCGAACAAATGACATTTAAATTTGGCGTACATATGGATACTCTCAACCATTTGAGTTACAATTTTTTTGTCGAAGATGATCGTTGTGACATAAATAAAATGTTCCTACTTTCCTCCATACCAATTTAGCAAGAACGAAAGCACGATGAAATTGGAGGGCCCATATATATGGCTGATTGCTTCCGAAAAATGGAGGTCCATTCTCCGTTGTGGGTGCTGCCAAGAAAAATTCTTTGTATAAAGATACGTCGAGTTGGCGTTGTTTCTCTTCTTTGCAAAGCAATGCACTTGCAGACAGACACGAGTGGAGAAAAAGGTACCCCTAAATTAAACAAAGATACTTTCTGCTGTAAAGCTGCTTTTGTATATGGTGGTGGCCTGGAAGGAGCCTGCTGTGTCTTTGTCCTCGCCTCAAGTCACCATTTACCGACACACAAACAAGTAGTTAACGTTGTATTAACTTATTAATTAATTAACGTTGATCGGTCGTTATTTATTCTTATGTTGTTTTTTAATTAAAATCAGTTCATAAATTAATTAAAGGGTTGAACCTTGAACCGTTGGCATCTCTCCATTCATGTCCCGCCCCCTTAGACTATCTCCAACTGAAGGATCAGAGAGTAAAAAATAGTCCGAAAACCGTCTCCAACCGAGGGCTAGGCCAAAGTGTTCTTGGGCCCCACTAGACAAAAAAGGGCCAAAGGACCAATCGACTGGTCCAATCCGGCCAACCAATCAGCCCCGAGTCAGGCTGAATTTTTCATTATTAATACATTTTCTGTTGGATATATCCGACAATATTGTCCTCTTTAGTGTTGGATATATCCTAGTATTGTCCTTTTTTTGGGCCAAATTTTTTTTTTAAATTCCCCTTTTTCTTCTATAAATATCTAAGTCATTCCTACACAATTTTTCACATAATTTTCACCATTTTTAAATTTAAGTTGTTGTAGTTTTTAAATTTACATAACAAATTATGTTTGACCCTATGGCCTTTTAGCATTCGGTTGGAAACGGTTTTTTTTCACATGACTAAAACGAGCCATTTGACTCTCGGTTGGAGATGAAAACAAATATGGTTATGTATTATTTGTTAAAATATTAATATATTAGAGAGACAGAGAGCTAAAACGAGCTTTCTAACCTTCGTCGGGTTGGAGATGGTCTTACAAAACTCGGGTCCAGCCAGCCACCCCAAATCCCTGCACTGGAATTCTCAATTTGCAACTGAGGCCCTCCAAAATGAATTATTTACTCTTTAGTCTCTGTAAAGTACGAAGCTTTATAGAGTGGGCCTCACCACTGACAAACGGCTACTCTCTAGACACTCCCACCCTGTAGTCTGAACCGAAGTTCACATGTCAATTTATCTCCATTTCCCATTTCATTTTTTCGCGATATATTTACAACTGTCACTTTCTATTTTTGTTCCATGCCATGTCAGCACGAGTTTTGGTCATGTTTCCAGTGAATTTAATAAGGTCGTCGTCGGAGCGGATTATGATTATGCCCCCTTAACGGTTTATAACCCGCGTGGAACAATCATCACTCTCTAATATGCACTATTGCACTTGCTGGATAAATTTTTCAGTATGTCAAAAATACGAATGAAAAATGATATGTTATATAAATTTTCATATGTTTTTCAAATTGTACATTGATATGTTCTTCCAATTGTACAGTAACATGTGACATTTTATCATGTGTTTTGAACACATTGAAAAATCTTTCCACTAGCTAGTTGCCTCCGTCACTCCACATTTCCCTGCATCATGATTAGGAGAAAATTTAGTATTTGATTTGATAGCAGCTTAAGTGTTTGTGCAATCAGACGTACAAAAATTAGGTGTCCTATAGTTTGGTATCATCCATATCCACCCATAGTTTCATCCCATTTAAAAAACGTTGCATGCGGTTATTTTCATACAAGAATTTGTTCATGTGTAAGGCACCTCTCACAAGTGTGAGATCGATATCAATGTGGGTGTGGGACCATTGTGGGTCGAATCAAACCCTATTATAGAAGTCCATATTTATTTATGAGAGCTATTCCACAAATGATCATAAGTGATAGATTGTAATAAACGGCTAGCTTAAATATTTTAATTAAATTCAATGATTTTTTTCGGATAGCCTAATTGTTAGAAGGTAATTAATTACTTTGGTGATTTAGAACATTTTTCATCATCCCGCTACGTTTTGAACTCAAACCCTACTCCCTCTTTTTAATATAAATTAGCATAGAATTTCGACCCTAATGTAGAAGTTAATATAAATTAGCATAGAATTGTAATATAAAAGTAAAAATAAACAACTAAATTGCACTGTTCCCATGGACAAAAGCATGGAGTCCAACAAAATATCGCGACAAATTGAATTGGAGGGATTTGAGACACAGTTCCATATGGGTCCCCACACCAACTTCTCTTTTGCCATTTTTCTATATTCCCAAGGTCCTTGCTTGCTGAGCCCCTCTACCTTTTCTCCATCACTGTTGAAGCTTTCACACTTCCTTTCTCTCCCTTCACCTCCATTGTCTCTCTCAGCTTTCTCCACAACCCCTCACTTGGTTTCCGCAGCAGAAAGAACGATAAAGGTAATCCCTCTGAACTCCGACTCTGTAATTTTCTGCTGGAAATGTTCTATTTGATTTTGGTGCTTCTGCTGCTCTGCAACTCTCATTCCCTGGTGGATTCCTTGAACGAGGAAGGCTACGCCCTTTTGTCGTTCAAGCAGTCCATTGCGGAAGACCCAGAAGGGTCTCTGAGCAACTGGAACTCCTCTGATTCCAACCCCTGCACATGGAATGGGATTACATGCAACGACCAAAGGGTTGTCTCTCTCAGCATTCCAAAGAAGAAACTTTCTGGGTTTCTTCCTTCCGCCATGGGAGCCCTCTCCGAGCTCCGCCACGTCAATTTAAGGAACAATAAGTTGTACGGAAGCTTGCCCCTTGAGCTTTTCCAAGCTCTGGGGCTCCAAAGTTTGGTGCTTTATGGAAATTCCTTATCTGGGTCTGTCCCAAATGTGATTGGTAAGCTCAAATACCTTCAATCCCTAGATTTATCAGAAAATTTGTTTAATGGTTCGTTGCCCACGTCGATTATACAATGCAAGAGGCTCAGAACCATCGATCTTAGTCAGAATAATTTCACTGGCTTTCTACCAGAAGGGTTTGGAAGTGGTTTTGTTTCTTTAGAAAAACTTGATCTTTCTTTCAATAAATTCAATGGCTCGATTCCAAGTGATATGGGAAATCTGTCTAGCTTGCAAGGCACTGTTGATTTGTCTCATAATCTGTTTTCTGGTGCAATCCCGGCTAGCCTTGGAAATCTTCCCGAGAAGGTTTACATTGATCTTACATATAACAATTTGAGTGGTCCAATACCGCAAACCGGTGCTCTGATGAACAGAGGACCAACTGCTTTTATTGGGAATCCTGGTCTTTGTGGCACCCCATTGAAGAACCCGTGTTCTTCCGAAGTTTCCGGTGCTAGTCCGCCTTCCTCGATTCCGTTTCTGCCGGATAACTCCCCCCCACAGGATTCTGACGATAATGGTGGAAAGAGTGGGAAAGCAAGAGGGTTGAGTAAAACAGCTGTAATTGCAATTATAGTGAGTGATGTAATTGGCATTTGCCTTGTTGGGCTGCTTTTCTCGTATTGTTATTCGAGGTTTTGGGCTCGTAGTAAGGTTAAGGATGAAAATGGTTTTGGCAAGGGAGGTAAGGGAAAGAAGGAGTGCTTGTGCTTCAGAAGAGATGAATCAGAGACATTATCGGAGAATATGGAGCAGTTCGATCTAGTGGCATTGGATACACACGTGGCATTTGATCTGGACGAGCTTCTTAAGGCGTCTGCTTTTGTTCTTGGAAAAAGTGGAATTGGAATTGTTTACAAAGTTGTGCTTGAAGAAGGAATCACCCTGGCAGTGAGAAGATTGGGCGAAGGGGGTTCCCAGAGATTCAAGGAATTTCAGACGGAAGTTGAAGCAATTGGAAAGCTAAGGCATCCTAACGTTGTTACTCTGAAGGCATATTACTGGTCTGTTGATGAAAAGCTGCTCATATATGACTATATTCCTAATGGCAGCCTTGCCACCGCCCTTCATGGTAAGCTTACCATTTTTCCTCGTCTAATTTTGGTATTCATACTCTTGTTAGTGGTTGTTATATTCTCTTATTAATGGTAGGTGTATTTAACTCAGATTTGCGAATAAAATTATAGGT